TGCAGATGCTGGGTGCAGACGTTGAGAGGAGGCACACAAGTCGGAGGTGTGGCGCCCTCTGACAAGCAAGAGTTTGTCACCAGAGACGACGAGGGCAGGGTGTCTTCAGCACGGACCGCTGGTGGGCTATGGCAGGTCGGTAAGCCGGCATTGTTTAGGAGGCATGGAGGGCATAAACTGATGCTGAAGTGTATCCTCAGGTGAGGGCAGACGACGTCCTGTGCCCAGGCAATAACAGGACCGTTCGAGGTGTAACCCAAAACTCATGGCGAATGAGTGTGAGTGATTGAGTGTGGGTATCACTTGTACATTTGACAGCCGGACTGGCTCTTTCTGCAGTTGCAGATGCAGCGAGTATGCCAGACTCAGGCGACGGGCGGAAAAGAAATGGTTTCAAGCATGTCTGCGCCTCATGGTTGCATGAACGATGGGCGTCATGCTAGTTTCTTCTGCTGCCTGGCAAGCAGCAGGAAGAGCGGCGACTACGGTGGGAAATTTTTTTTTGGATAGACGTTCATTGGACTTGGCCAGAGGGGATCCGAGGTTTCCTATCCGTCTGGTGGTCCATCATCCGTTCTTTTAAAAGAAAGGGAATCCAGTTGCCCGGTGTTCTGTGCGTGAGGCATGGCCAGGTTTCTCTTGGTGTCTGTGGGCAGCTGTTCCATGAGGCTTCCAGAGCTCCTTGCAAGAAGTTATTTTAATCTCTCGTTCTCTCTAACGCTTTGAGATTTCAGTTTGTGGCAGGTATTGTCAAGAAGGGAGATGCCTGGCTGGGTCGATGGATCGAGAAGCAAAAAGGGCCGAGGATGAAAAGGGACTGTTGCCCGCCCAAGGCTTCCGAGGGACCTGCAAGGATGAGGCGTTGGCAGTAAGTGTTGCAACTGCCGCCACCAACAATGCGGGCTGTGAAACTGGCAGCAGCAGCAACGTTGCTTGCTGATGATTTGTTAGAGCAAAGTGACGGGGACGCTGGTGTCTGGAATTTACCACCTGCCAGACCTCGAGCTGTGCTTAGTTAACATGCTCTGGCGGTTAGGTAAGTTGATGTGTTAGTCCAGGCTGTAACAGGCTTTGATGCAAGGCGCACACGTGCATGCAGCAAACCCGGGATCTGGGCATGTCGGAACGCCGTCTGTTCGTCTGTTCGAAGGGGTTTGAGTTCATTTGCAATTTGTATTCCAATAAATTCGATTCTTCTATGCCTGCAGGAGCAGCAGTGGCAGGACGACGCGCGTGATGACGGAGATCGACAGCAAAATAATAGGAGCCCTCGGGTTAGTAGACCCAGCTGAGAGTACGACATGGGAGAAACAGGCGCGCACGGAGTGACCGTCCGTGGAAAATGACGATGACGCGCGACAGCCAATGAAAGAGACGAATGATGGATGGGATTGCTGGGCCTGAAGAGGACACAATCTGCGTACTAGTAGGCAAAGGGCGGAGGGCAGCGGAGAGCCCGAATCCAAACGAATGGATTGACTTGAGTGACGGCGGAATTTGACTAGTGTCTAGTGTTTCCCTTAGCTGGACGCTGGGCCTGGGACTGGGAAAAAGCCAGTATGGGTACGTAAGTAGCAGGAGAAAAGGAGAAAAGCAGAAAAAAAAAAAAAAAGGCCCTTAAACGGGACCAGCGGGTCAATGAGGGCGGCCCCATTTTCCTCTTTTAACTGTTCGTCATTTAGTGTTTAGCGCAGGTATCTTCTTCGCAAATGGGAGGAAAGGGAAATGAAGAGGAAGCAGGTAGACTGGACATACTATAATGGTTAAAAAAAAAAAAAAACAAGGAAGGTAAGATGCGATATAGGCTGTCCTTTACTACTACTGTTAGTACAATTGCGGTTTCTTAGGAGAACTTACTCTAAGCAGCAGCACAACCAGGAACGACAACAGCAGCAGCAACAACAGTAGCAACATACTCTACTGTTAGCAGCGACTGATCAAAGCACTATAGCAATAGCTGGGGTCCCCTGTTTCCTACCCTACCCTGGGTCGACGGTTGACCTAAATCGTAATCCGTACCTACATAATTAGTACAAGAAGATGGCAAAAGATGGGTAAAAGGGTGTGGGGTGAGTGGGTTGATGGCCCCCTCTCACGCGGCGTGACGACCCTTCTACTTCCTCGCCGTACATAGTACAGATTTCGCATTAGTGGCAGGAGCGATGGAACCCTCCTGCAGAATTCTCAAACAGATCTCTGGCGTGGCAGCAGAGCGGGACCAAAGCCTTTTTTTTTTTTTTTTTTTTCCCCTTCCACTTCTTCCTCCCCACCCCTTCCCCTTCATCCCATTCCATACACGATCTTTCCTGTCATGCTTCCTCTGTGCTGGATGTTTTCGAATGATACCAAAGCATCTTACAGTACTACTACTACTACCACTCCCACCACTACAATGTGTCCTTCAAAGTACGGACGAGACGCATGGCCGCCCTCTATGATCAGATATCTCCGAACAGTATCGCCCGTGTGGTATTTCAAATGTTTAGGGTGACGCAACATTTGCAGGAGTTTGCCAAACTAATTTGCCCAGACGGATATTTCACCTATATAGACAGATAAATGACAGCGCAGCGATGACGACGGTGGGTAGGCATCTCTGTGCCTGCGTGTTTTTGCTGCTGCTGCTGCTGCTAGTAGAATACCAACCAGAGACGTAGACACATAGCATGCCTCTATCTAGCCAGTGTCCATGGAAACAAGACAACTCGAGCCGCTCTACATGCCACCTCGAAGATTGTTTGCAAACCCGGTTTCAAGTCTGAATGAGCCAATACCATGAAGGGCGACTCACCCAATAGTTGCTGGAAGGCCACTTAGCCCAGCCTAAACTGCGAAGATGGTGATAGGGGTGGTGATTGCCTCAGTTTCTTCTTTTCTTGAGGGCCTTAAGTTCACCCTTATTTGGATTAATCAGACACTTCCAATTCAGTTTCCTGCTTTCGTCCCGAGACCACCGCTTGTTGTCGTTGCCCGTTGCCTGTTGATGCGCCAGTTATCAATTGCAACACCCGTTGTGACGCGCCCGCAGTTAGATAAGAAGAAAAAGGGCCATCTTTTCCATTCGCAGCCATGTAGCAGTGTAGCTCGGTACGTGCCTATCAGACCCTGGTACCGCTCCGCATCCCGCACGAGGCAAGGGGTCCGTTCTCCACCCTCCTTGTTTGTCTTCCTCATCCTCCTTCCTCTTGCCCCATCCCTACCCTCTCGTTCCTTACCTTTCCTTTTTCCCCCCCTCCTTATTCCACACTAGTAGTTTTTGTATCTATGTACTGCATAGTAGCAGTAGGCTACCTGCGTGAGTACCTGTATGCCTTCGACTTCTTTCCAATCCAACCAAGCTCTCTACGTAGTATCTCTTTTCATCTTCTTCTTCAAACTACAGTACGTACCCCACCCATAGCGTGACCATCGACAGGGGACCTCCCCGTCCTCACCGGCCAGTCCCAGGCTTTAAGTTGTTTAGGCCCCCATCCACCCATATCCAGCCTTCACCCTTCAATAATGCCAATCCCACTATTTTTGTGCAACCCTCGTTGTGCCTTGTGCCTGTCCTGTACCTGTCTGTGCCTGTGCATTTGTGCCTGTCCATCCGGTCCTGGTTATCCATCCATCCCCGCTCCCCTTCATTCCGACCAAGGCACTCTGCCGTACCGGTAGTCCCATCCATCCATCCATCCATCCATCCATCCATCCATCCAATGTGTGCCTAAATTACAGAAACGTACGTTCATAGTTGACATTACGCTCTCTTGCACACTGCACCATCCGACCCGGTGCCATTTGTACAGAGTACCATAGTACCGACAGAGAAAGACTCGCAGTTCTACCTGCCGCACTTTCGACCTTACAGCACACCCCCCCTGTCACACACGTCCGACCTCTTCCTGTCCCTCCTTGTGTGTGTTCTAAACCGCCGCCCTACGCAGTCCTACCTCGCAGTACAGCACCTCCCCTCCTTTCCACTCGAGCAGTGGCCCGTCTGTACTCACCCCAGAGAGAGACCCCCCAAGACCCCCCTCTCTCTTCATTCCACACACACACGCCCACAACACCGCATATACACCACACTCCCTCTCTTTCTCTCTTTTTCACTCTCCATTCAAACAAGTCGACTCTACTCTGCTCTGTTTTGCTCTTTTTTCCTCTGGTCTTTAATCCTCCCCTCTCCCTTACCTCGCAACGCCTTGCAACTCGCCAGCCTTCGGTCATCGCGCCTTGAACAGTTGTATACTGAACCCACTCCAGAACCACACCACAGTGACCCAGCGCATCCCGATTGCTTGTCTGGATCTGGTACTACGCCGCCCCTAGCCTCTTTTTTAATTTGGTCACCGCCGCCCACACATTTGCGGCCGCGCCTACCAAAGCTAAACCCGCGCTCCTGTTCGTCGCGCCGCCCTATCAACGCTGCCAAAAGCAATATCCATCCTGCCCCCCTCCCCCTTCGAACGAAGCTTCCACTCGAAACACCCGCAAAAAACCCAACTTCACATTCGAGAAGTCTGCCATCTTGGGTTCGCTGCCATCGCTCCGAACCACGGCTTGACTTCGCAATCGCACATCCCGACCTGTGTCTCGTGGCGTTCGCTGGACGACATCCCAATTGTGCCCTGTACACATACGCAAATAATCGAGCGACTGAACTACTCGACAGCGACAATCACTCGATTCCACTCGACTCGTCTTTCCGCCCCAAGCACTCCCAGCCTGCGCTGTGCCATCTTCCACTTCACAGCCATATCGTGCGAACCACTCTCCTTCTTACAGCCTTAGGTCTCAACTAGCCTTGCCCTTCTCTCGTTCCACCCTGGACCCTCAACGTCGCCTTGCAACCTGTCACACCCACTGTTGAACCGCATCATCGCCATCTTCCTGCAAACAGGCTTATCGGTGTCGGCAAGCGTAACTTCATCGCAGGCACTCGAGGCTCATTGCTTCTAGGGGCTCGCTTGGGCGACCCGCCTGCTTTGCGATTTCAGCACCCTTACGCTCTCGCCAAAATGTCCGTCATGCTCCAAACACCTTCCCGAGCTTCGACGGCATCCTCGTCTTCATTCCAGCCCCTCTCACGACAAAACACAATGTCTTCCTACGATGGATCGCGGTCCGCCCGCCAATCTAAGCGGTACTCCATGTCCGCGCTGTACATGTCCATGTCGGCGAATGAGACTGATCTTGAGATTGAAGATGACCTGGCCAAGGGTAAGTGAAGGCTACCAACCGCTTTCGGCCTTCGCCCACTAATTTGCCGTCTATACAGCCCAAAAAATCCTCCGCGAGCTCAAGTCCAAGATCTCCTCCCAGTCAAAAAAGAATTTCGTCCTCGAGAAGGATGTACGATATCTCGATTCTCGAATCGCTCTGCTCATCCAGAACCGAATGGCCTTGGAGGAACAAAACGAAGTTGCGAGCCACTTGGAAGATGCTACCGAAATGCAGGAAGGCGACTTCCCCAACGACGACAAGACACAAAAGTACGGCAACTTGATGTTTTTACTGCAGTCTGAACCCAGACACATTGCGCATCTGTGTCGACTAGTGTCCATGGCCGAGATTGATTCACTCCTCCAAACTGTCATGTTCACCATTTATGGTAACCAGTACGAGAGCCGTGAGGAGCACTTGCTCTTGACCATGTTCCAGGTTCGTCTCAATTTGTCGTCAAATTATATACCCATCTAACCAGAGACCAGTCCGTTCTTACCTACCAATTTGATAACACACCCGAATACTCGTCGCTCCTCCGCGCCAACACTCCTGTATCACGCATGATGACGACGTACACAAGAAGAGGACCCGGACAGAGTTTCCTCAAGTCAGTGCTTGCCGATAGAATCAACAGCCTGATTGAGTTGAAGGATCTGGACTTGGAAATCAACCCCCTCAAAGTGTATGAGCGCATGATTGAGCAGATCGAGGAGGACACCGGCAGTCTACCCGCCTCTCTACCCAAGGGTATCACCGCTGAGCAGGCCGCCGAAAACCCCCAGGTTCAGGCCATCATCGAGCCGCGTTTGACGATGCTTACCGAGATTGCTAACGGCTTCCTCTCGACCATCATCGACGGCCTCGAGGAGGCTCCCTATGGTATCCGTTGGATCTGCAAGCAGATTCGCAGCCTGACGAAGCGCAAGTACCCCGATGCGAATGACCAAGTTATTTGCACCCTGATCGGCGGCTTTTTCTTCCTCCGATTCATCAACCCCGCTATTGTGACGCCCAAGTCGTACATGCTTATCGATGGCCAGCCCGCGGAGCGCCCAAGGAGAACACTAACCCTGATCGCCAAGATGCTACAGAACCTGGCCAACAAACCATCATACGCGAAGGAGCCGTATATGGCTAAGTTGCAGCCCTTCATTCAGCACAACAAGGACCGTGTCAACAAGTTCATGCTTGACCTATGTGAAGTTCAGGACTTTTACGAGAGTTTGGAAATGGACAGATATGTCGCCCTCTCAAAGAAGGACTTGGAATTGTCCATTACTCTCAACGAAATCTATGCCATGCACGCTCTGATCGAGAAACACCATGGAGAGTTGTGGAAGGACGACAATTCGCATCTTGCAATCATCATGTCTGAGCTGGGTGGAGCACCCGCACAGGTTCCCCGCAAAGAGAACCGCGTCATCAACTTGCCCCTTTTTAGCAGATGGGAGACGGCAATCGACGACTTGACTGCGGCACTCGACATCACGCAAGAGGAAGTGTACTTTATGGAAGCCAAATCCGTCTTTGTGCAAATCATGCGTTCTATTCCTTCAAACAGCAGCGTTGCTCGACGACCTTTACGACTGGAGAGAATCGCGGACGCGGCGGCTACGAGCCGCAACGACGCGGTCATGGTTCGCAAAGGCATCAGGGCGATGGAGCTTCTTTCTCAGCTCCAAGAACTGAGAGTAATTGATAAAAGTGATCAGTTCAGTCTACTGCGTGACGAGGTAGAGCAGGAGCTGCAGCACCTTGGTTCCCTCAAGGATGGTGTCATTCAGGAGACGAACAAGCTCGAGGAAGTTTACAAAACAATTCGCGACCACAACACCTACCTCGTCGGCCAACTGGAAACGTACAAGAGTTACCTTCACAACGTTCGCTCTCAGAGTGAGGGTACAAGGAGAAAACAGCAAAAGCAACAAGTCCTCGGCCCGTACAAGTTTACACACCAGCAGTTGGAGAAGGAAGGTGTTATCCAGAAGAGCAACGTCCCTGACAACCGAAGGGCAAACATCTACTTCAACTTCACGAGTCCCTTGCCGGGCACCTTTGTCATTTCCCTACACTACAAGGGTATGTTTACTTAATGCATTCATGGAAACCTTGCTAACTTACTCAGGACGCAACCGTGGTCTTCTCGAGCTGGATCTTAAGCTCGATGACTTGCTCGAGATGCAAAAGGACGGGCAGGACGATCTGGATCTCGAATACGTTCAATTCAACGTCACCAAGGTCCTTGCACTGCTGAACAAGCGATTCGCAAGAAAGAAGGGATGGTAAACGCCAGCACGCGGGTCTCCCAACCACTGACTGTACAATTCTTTCCTGGAGATACCCTCGGCTGGCTTTTGATGGGATTCGGCGTTCTCGGCATCTCTTTGGAACCTGATACCACGACATTCTTCTCTTCGTCGCACCCTTCTTGATTTCCCGCTTCTGCATCCATATTTCATTGATGCTAGTTTAGCAGCTCTTATTTCCTCAATCCTCGAATGTCTCCTCGCCACGGCTGTCTTTCAATTCGCTTCTCAACCATCTCGTTCGGCATTCATACGCATACCAGCGTTCCTACACCTCCTCGCCTGGATATCTCTCACGCCTAACTTCAAAGGGCGGCATTCTCTGGATCGGGCCTGCCATACAAGACTACACACGTGGATATGGGGACTTGAGTTTTCTTCTCTCTGGCCGGTTTCGTCTCACATCACATTAGTGGCTCGACTTGGTGGTTTTATTTTTTTTATTTTTTTGGCGCGATATACCTGCTATGTTATTTTAATTGCCCTTGCGGCCGGAGCCAGGCGGATTATATTGTGCGCGTATCGTTGGTTGTGGTCTGGTTTTTAGTGTTGTGTTTTTCCTCCTCTAGTCCACGTTCATGTGTGACGGCGGCGCGGGTTTTGTTCGGCTGGTCCGGCGGCTTCAGTGTATGTCCCGTCTACTTTGTTCATGTCCTGAAATGATTGGGGTCGTCAACAGATGGGAGATGAGTTTTTTGTCGATGAAAAGGAATGAAATGACATGGATGATACTGATGTCGTATCCTGAATGCCGTAGCAATTTCGTGAATGGTGAGACCCGATCCCACTCTCCCCGACTGTGAGTGACGAATCGAGCGCTACCAGGTCTGGCAGGCGATTTCTCTGACACGAGGAAATAGAAAAGTCTGAGACCGACGACGATGGTTTGCGTGATGGCGTGTTGGAACCGCGTAGCTCGAAAGTCTCGTGGTTACAACCTCTCATCCGATATCATGTGGTCTAGGCTTCGCCAGAATGGGTGGAGTTGGGGGGGGGGGGGAGGCGGAAAGACGTCGAGAACTTGTCCGACGTTTTGAGGGGATGACGTGAGCTTCCTGCGGCTCCACGTTGTCTGTCGATCGATTATATGTGTGTGTTTGTGTGTTTCAGCCGCCTTTAGGCATGAGGTTAATTGGATGATTGGGGGGGGGGATAAGAGCCCGATGGTGTGGATGGAGAGGCGTGTCCTTGGGAGGAAATCTGCTGGATGTATTTGGAAGGATAGACATTTTCGGGGGGTTATGAAAGTTGCCGCGCTGTTTGATTTGGGGAAGCCAGCATTTGTTTTCCTCTTCTTCTCCCCCCCTCTATGAGTCCTTTCTCGTGGTGGACTTGGTGGGGCGAGGTAGTTTGTGATGGCTGCGATGATGCAAGAATGCCCAAGGTTTAGTTTGGCGTGTTACAGACGTGATGGGGGAGGGCATGAAGAAGAGGAGGGGTTCCTTCGGGAGCTGCGGTGAGTGGTTGGAAATGTCATCGGATTGAATAGCTTGTGTGGTGTGACGGGTATTATGTGAGAATCAGCGGGATGGATGGTCGGGAATTAATGGGATGGTTTTTTTTTTTTTTTTCTTCTTTTTTGCCTAACCAGAAGTTTCTTGTGACTGACTGCCGGGGACTTTGGGGAAGTTACATACACATCTGGGGGGATTGGTGTGTCCACATCCTTGTTGGTTGTTGGTATAAGCTTTATATCCTTGTTGTTTCTATTTGGTAGTTGGGAATGTCGTCATTAGAGGTTGTGTTTCTCGTTTTCTCTTGTATGGGTCGTGTAGAGACATGGTATGGGCCGATTGGCGAGGCGTTTTGGATGATGAGAAGGTGCGAAGACTGAAGTGCCAAGTTCGTTAGAAATGTCAATAGTTGTTTGGCATTCTTGCTAGATATTATTGCGAGAACGAAGGGATTCTGTTAGTGTGTTTGATGGGATCCAGGGTTGCCCATCGCTGAAGATGTGTAAGCCCGTCTGAATACATTATTGGTAACTCAGAGGCCTGAGCAAGAACGTACTGGTTACGACATGTACCATTTATTACAATTTAACCTATCTGTTGAAGACTCTTGGGAAATACTGTTACGAGTATCAGGTTAGGCATTGGAGCTCGAAGAACCAGGATTCATGAAGGTTCATAGACAGATAGTTCTCACAATCATATCACAGTAACGGGTCATCAATGAGTTTTGTAAAAGGGTGTATTCTGTAATTGACATGTAAAGTTAAGGTTATCACGGCACCCTATTTCTGTCCATATCCCGACAAGACGGGATAAGCAGATTGCACCTCCGATGGTCGGATTCGATCTATCAGAGGCGCCCCTATTCCATATCTCTCATCCTCTCTTTTCAAAACCCCTCATATGGGTTTTCAATTCACCCGGAGTGAATACATCTTCAATCCCCTTCGCCTTCTTTCTTCTTTGATTCTTCTTCTTCTTCCTTTTTTTTTTTTTTTTGTTGGATTGTCGACTTTCTTCATGTCGTAAAAAAAGTTGTACACACGTCCCACGATCGTATGGTAGTGGCGCCGGCCATGACACACCAGCCTTTAACAGCGCGAGATGTCAAAGGTCCTCCAAGTCTGAGATGATTCCGTAGCGAGACGCCGGCTTAATCAAAAATCATCCACTCGCGCCGCTCCTGAGGGTATATCTCCTCCCACTTCCGGCAGTGCAACGCTCCGTAAGTGTTCTGCGTAGCCTCCCACCAAGCGGACTGGATCATGCCGCGGTTACAATGAGCGCCGACGGCGAACTTCAAGTCGAGCACGGCCGGCGCGAGCTCCTCGCAGTGTGCCTTGAAGAGCCAGCGGCACTCGGGCTCGAACTGCCTCAATTGGTACCACATCCGCCCGCACACCTCGGGCACATTGGGTATGTTGTAGGCGCGAATGCGCCAGCCGGTGAAAAAGATATAGCGGGGCAACGCGACGCAGCCGGGCGCTTCGAACGTCTTGTGCGGCGGCGGCGTCATGGTGTGCGTCGGTGGGTTCTTGATTGTCCTTGTGGGCACAGGCATCGGTATGAGGGGCGTTATGGTGGTGTTCTTGGTTGGCATTGGGAGGCGGACTGTTTCCTCTAGGACAAAGTTGGCGCCCTGGGAGCCTTGTATGGTGCGGACCGAAGTCATGAGAGTTGTGGCCGAGTACGCCGACGAGTTAGTTTGGATGGTTGCCATTGCTGAGATGGTGCTCGCGGCCAAGATGGCAAGTGTTGAGTTTGTGAACTTCATTTTGATGTTCTTTGTGTTGCTTGATGTTTATTTGAGTAGTGAGTTGTGGATCGTGGATTGTAAATAAGTGGTTTGGATGTAATGGTTCTGGGTTCCCATGTGATGAGTTGTTAATTGTTGACTGAGACAATTGAAAAGACGATGGGCAGTTTGAACTGAAGATATTATTTGGAGTACACCTATCTCCGGATCGTCTGTCTTGACCTGTGGTTGAGGTCAAAGGCTGTGTATCTCCGGTTGGTATATAGTTTGAGCAAAGCTTGGTTCGCCCACTTGCCAACTTCATTCCTATCTTGATATTTGTGGCCAAGGAATTGCAAAGCGCAAAAGATCTCATGTCAGGCGGTGATGATGGGCGAATGTCGACAAAATTTGTAAAAGACATTTGTTCCATCACCTGAAGTAGAGCAAGTTGACAGACTTGATCTTGACAAGATGGCTAGCTCTTTCGAAGAATAGAACCATGTTCCGAGATCTCTGGTAGGCATAAAAAGAAACACTGTATGGTATTACGGGAAGAAGGGTTACTTCACAAACCCTATGGACAGGATAGCAGTAAGAAAGATAGCGATAATATGCGCAGTGTCTATGGTAAAGACTGGGTATCTCAGACAGTAAAAAGCAATCCCTTTCAAACATTCGCAAAAGCCTTCTCGTTGTCTTTCCCGACGTCTCGCTTGTCTATGGAGACCTCATTTACCACTCCATCGCTCTGCCAAGGCCTCCAGTTCATCCAAAGGCCTTGCGTCGTCCCCAAGCCTTCACGTGGCGGCTGCTGCGGCTGCCAACGACGTGTCAACCGTCTCTTCCTGCGAGGCTTGACCTCGACCGCTGGCATAGTCACGGTCGGGAGTGCCTTCTCTTCAGCTCCGGTATCCATGAAATACCGGAATGGCCAGGTGATGGCGGCGAAAGTGTGTTTTGCCAGGGAATACCCAGCTCGCGTCTGTAAGAGGATGAGGGCGAGGATGAAGGGGACGCAGACGCAAACCATCGTCACTGCAAAACGCCAGTTCTGCGGTGGTATGTCGAACTCTGTGATGCCGAAGACGGACTAGGAAACCGAAAATCAGACTCTGTTGGTTTTGAAAGGATGTGGGTAAGTAACTTACTGTGACAAAGGTCAGCGGCAAAAAGACCATTGAGCCCAGGGTAAGGACTTTGATGTTGTCGCCCTGTTCAATGGCCCGCCGTGACTCTTTGATGGAGCTACCACTAAAGAGTTGGTCTCGCAAGTTTTCAATTTCCTTCCTTGTAGCCACGTTCTTCGCGTGTACTGTCTCAAGATCCCGGCAGGCGCGCTCGAGATCCAGACGAAGTGGTGCCATCTTATCCCGATACGCCCGGCCTTCAGGGGATTCGGGGGTCGGGTGAGGCCAGAGCGTCGGATGCCGGCCTTCCCAGAAGTCATCAGGGAAGTTATCGTAATATGCGGCTAACATTGCGCGCAGGCCTTCGTTGACGACCCCCAGTGTGTTGTAAGCCCAAAAATATCTTCGGATGTATGTGAAATGCTTGTCCTCAAACAACAGTTTGTCTCTCAGCCGGCCATCGAACATGAAATCCGTCGGGGGGGTGATGAGCTTCGCGATGCGGGCGTGCAATGTTGCGTTGCGCTTCGTGGCATCGCGGTACTCTGTTACCAGAGCATCCATGAATGCATATGGCCCCGAAAGAAAAGTTTTGCGAGCCTCGGCCTCGCTGCCGCGAAGCGTGTGTTCGTCATCTGGGAATGATTGGATGGACAACAAGTGCCATGGCGCGAAAGTGTCGAAGAGGAATCCTTCCTGAGTGCCTTCGCGCCTGCGGTTTTGTTTGACAGACTGCCGTGGCTGGCCAGACAGAGAGAGTGCAAGTATCGAGCTACATTCTGCAATGTCGATATGGTCAGGCGATCGGCGGTCCGGAGGGCGGTTGTCATACTTCTGCCAGGGGGCGGGCTCTAACCCTTCGCCTACAACAGTGTAGTACTTGAAGGCAAAGAAGAAGCTGCGCTGCCGAATATGTCGAGGTGACGAGTCCTTGGCGAAGGCACGGTGGACGTAGGCTGTTGTTTTTCCATTGTTGTCGTGGTCCGTGATGAGGTGGTTAAAGAGTTCCGTCATGTCGAAATACGGTGCCATTGTCATGTGCAGGGCTCCGAGCATCAGCGCCGTGGGTTCCTGTAGGATGGTCACGAGACCGACTGCTTTGCCGTCGGCGTGGATGCCTTTGAGAGCATTCCATACTGTTGGCGCGTCGGCAATTTGGCTTTGAGCAGAGGTGGTGCCGTTGCCACGGGGCGGCTGATCAGGTTGCTTGCCTACTGGCCGAGGGCAGCCTTCCGTGTCCACGTCGTACAGCTCGAACGTAGAGCTAATGTAGCCCTGACTCTCGTAGGCAGCGAAACTCTCGAAGTCTGCGTTTTCGTCAATCTCGGTCTGTTTCTTAATCACGTCTGCAAGAGCGATAGCGACGCCGCCGGTAAAGTCAAAGTGTTTGAGGTGATGAAGAAGCTGGGGGTCGGTCCAAGAAACCCGTTCGATGAGTCTCGGCGAGGGAGAGGTGAAGGAGCCGTCGGATGCGACGCGGTGAATCGGGACGTCCAGCAGAGGCAAATACTCAACGTCGAGTTCCGAATGAATCGAGGATGGAACATGTTTTCTTTCAGTGACATGTATTGGACGCTTCTCGATGGGATCGGAGAGTGTTGACCGACGAGCACGACGTAGTGTTGGCTGAAAGGTTGCCTCTGGTGAGAGAATCGGGCTCTGTACGGGGCTTTGAACTGGGCTATGGGAAGGACGGAGCAATGGCGACGGCTGCAGGGTGACTGACGTTCGCGAGTCTGATCTCTCTCTAACGGTGCCGGCCAAAGAATCATGGAGGCTTCGGAGACTTCGGAGGTATTGCTCATGGCACGCCTCAACTGCCTTTAACAGCTCTTCCGAGCTCTGAGAAGACATGGCGAGCTATTAACAACGCAACCAAAGAAAGTAAAAATTTGGTCAATGAAAAAGTTTTGAGTAGCTCTGCTGTATTTGTATGGCAATGGGTAGAAGATAAGCAAAAGAGATGGCAGAGGCTCGTTGTTGCCACGACGGCCTTTTCTACGTTCTTGGCTCTCCAGCCTGCTCCAAGGTCAGTGAGGCAGTTCGGTGAGCTCTGAGAGACACGCATCAGTCTAAACACTCTCAAGACGATCACTCCAAATGCGGCTGAGCCGCGGATCAGAGCCGTAGCCCGTGGCACGCAATCTTCATGGCACAACCAATCTCTGAAGCAGCATCTCATCCTAAAAACGACTCCCCAGATCGGAGATGCGATTATCGGCGCCGGCAGTGTGACATTGCAGGCTTATACCACTTGAGCCGAGGACACCGAAATCAAGCTTCGACCACTAGACCGGAGGAAGAGTACGGATCCATTACCCGTATGCAGGTATGCACGCCCTAAATGTGAGGTGACGCACATACCGGGGGTTTAGCTGTGGAGATGCACAAAGGGGGGAAGACAGGTGCAGGGTCAGAAGTCAAGGTGAGGTAACGAGGGATTGGAAACGAAAGAGCGATCGCAAAAAGTAGGGCTGTCGAAGGGGGGCCGGTAGCGGTGCGGCTTGTCGCGGCACAGCTTGCAATTATAGTGGCTTGGCTGTCGTGAATAGACTGCTGCCTGACTTTCACTCAGCAATGGAAGTGTCATTCTTGTCATGTCTGAGAATTGATTAGGGAGGATGAGGGGGAGGGGCAGTTGACGGAGTTGGCCGACCGTTTGAAAATGTCTCAATCGAACGATGCAAACGAACGCGCTAGGTCATGTACGACTGCTTCGCCGCATGGAGCTTAACATGCACCTGTGGAAATTCAACGTTGGATGTCGCGCTCTTCACCGAACTACCTCGAGGCAAGCCTTGCCATGTGTCATGGGATAAACATGTCTCCTTTTTCATTGTTTCGACATGCGGAATAACCGTCCGTCGAGCAAGAGCTTCAACATCACAACACTAAAAGCATGCAAGAAATCTGTTCGTTGCCAGTTCGTATCTAATTACTGGGTATCCCCCATCTCGAGCCACATATACTAGAATGGCTACTTTCATCATCCAGGTCATTGTCTTCGTCTAAACCGCCATCTTGTGCATATTCTAATGAATACCCTCCTTGGCCGGCGTAAAAATCGGGGTATGAGCAAAATCGTCAAAGACACCAACGACACCTAAGGAAGGCACCCTCTATCGGGTCGCAACCTCGGCAGGCTTGGCGGCAGCAGCAGCAGGCTTGTCCGTCATATCAACATCCATGGCATCGTCGTCGGCAGCTTGGCCCTCGCCCTCCTCCTCCTCCAGCTCGTCCTCACTCTCGCCCTCGATGTCAACACTGCCGTCATCTGACAGCTCATCCTCATCGGCCTGGGCGGGCTCGCCATTTTCAACGCCGGCCATCTCAGAATCTTCGCCAGCGGCCTTCTCGCCGCTGGCAGCACCCTCGAGAGCAGCCTCGGCCTCTTCCTCTTCACGTTCATCAGCGCCGTAATCGTCCTCATCAGCGGCGAGATCAGCCTCGGGCTGCTCAGGCGGGAACTCGGCGGGGGCAGAGGCCTCGTTGTCCCTGTACACATGTCAGCTCTATCGTCTCTTTGTCTGTTTTTACTTCGTAGATCGTACCACTTGATGGCGAATCGGGTCACACGGGGCTTCTCAGCAAGAATGTTGCGACGCACGCGCTCGATGATGGGCTTCGAGGGAGGCTCGGCGTTGAGCTCCTCCGAGTCGTACTCATTGTTGACATAGTAGCCGACACGTACGAACTCGCGACCGTCGTAGGCGCAGGTGAGGAGGATCACAGTGACGCCCAGAATGTCGGCGTCGGGAATTCTGGATGTGTTGGGGGCATCGGCCTCAAAAACGAACTTGTTCGTGCCGACGGGGATAGGCCCAACCAGGAGGCTGTCTAGCTCCTGATCATACTGGTCGCTGTTCACTGCGGTTAGCGAATGGCGGTGTATGTGAAAAAATCCACTTTGACTAACCTGGTAGCCGAGCCAACGTAGGTGAGCTTCCACTCGAGATCTGTAGGGGGAAAAAAAAGTCAGCGGGGAGCGATCGCAGGTACAACAAGAGTCGACGCATACCCTTCTCAAGTGACTCCAAGCACTCGAAAGTGATCTCAAACTCGTACTTGTCTGTGAACTTGGCGGGATTGTTCAAGATTTGAACACCCAGAAGCGAGACGATAGACATCGTGAAATGTGAGTGACCAAGTCAGTTTGCAAAAGTGCGGGTGGATGATAAAATTGAAGAAAGTATGCGCAACTCGAGCGAAGCAGAGGCTGGATGCAATGAAGGATCGTGGTGGGAAATGCGACAAAAGGGGTGGGGGTTTAGGTGTTTTTGGGACGTTGGCTTGTTTTGCAGCGAGCGACAGAGATGAAAGGAAGGTATCGTTCAATTGCGACGGGACAACGACGTGGGACGCGCCTGCGCTGACCGCGAATTTCGCGTAGAGTGGTATCCACTTTTACACCAGCCTCACAAACAGCGCGGCAGCCTCCCAGCCACACTACGGCGTTCTCATTGTGCTTCTAACTTTTGTGACCATGGTGACACGCTTGTTGCCATGCATGTACAGTCAAGCCAGTTGAGCAGCAGTTTCATCTCAAAACCCTTAGATGTAGTCAATATATATATCACTTTGTATTAGTAGCTTCAAACGCACACAATCTATCTTCTCATTATGCAAGGTTTGATGTTCTCTCCATTGAGGTTCATTGGCTGAATGATTGGCGGCTGGAGTGTCTTTAAGGCCATGTGCCTCCCATGGTACTTTTGTTTCACACTTTTAAACTCCAATGCAAGAAAAAAAATTCGAAATTTCATCACACTCTTTTCGCTAGCTTGCTGGTGCAGCTAAGTATCATAATGGTACAATTACTGGAACTCTGAAGCGCAGAAAGAAGTCGCGCCTAAACAGTGGCGCAAGTCAATAGTCTTATCTTATCAGAGGCTCCATCATCAAATCCGATATTTATCCAGGTGACCGCCTAACCACGCTAGCCTGATTACGGTGCTTGCAACCTTCAATCTTCTCTTCGCCAGCTTTCAGCCTTCCAAATTTGCGTACTCGTTACCAACGCCATCAGCTTCGCCCTGCACCGCGACCATCAGTGACATTTGAAATCGCGCATTTCCCGAATCTCCTCAGCTGTCTGCTTCCGTTCGACCGTCTTTGACTGTGCCCAGAGGCGATAATACCGCTCTGGTAGCTGCAGCGCATCTGCGCTTCTGGCGATCCGTCAGCTCACAGCTATCGCGACGACTTCCCATCCCGAACTCTGCTTCCACGATCCCATTACGGCTGAAGTCGGTCGATTGGTAATATCGAATATAATTCAATTAAGAAGCTTTACGACGCACCTTTGAGCTCGTTGCCGCAATGGATTCCGAACTCCCGCAGAACGACCAACACGTTGAGGGTGCGTCTTGGGGAGAAGAGGAATATGGTGGACAAGAGATACAGCATAGCGACCAACAAAGTCAAGATCCTGCCTTCTCACTTGCCCAAGATGCGATTGGTGACCAAGAAGATGCTGGCGAATATGACCCTGAGTCGGTCACGTACGACCCAGAGTCGGTCACAATAACCCCAGTCCCACAGATGACAGAGTCCAAGAGCCCGACCGTTCCCACCGCGTCTGCGCCCGCGAAATCCAAAACTGGCAAGCCCAAGACACAAGGAGGATTCCTAGTGGGAGACTCCGATGATGAGGAGGACGCGCCGACGCCAGCCTCTAGCACTGTTGCCGCACCAGCCCCTGTCACACACAACCCTTCTCCCCTCCATGCACCTACACCGGCTCAGGGCCAAGCGGGCGCCTCTGCAGAGCAACCGATTAACGATGCTGCAGTGAGAGCGCCCAGTGTTGCGTCCACAACTGCTATTGCTCCCGCTCCTGTCTCTATCCCTGCCCCGGCTCCTGCGCCATCTGCTCCGGCTGTTCAGCCTGTCCAAAACAGAGACCCAAATGACACCATTGGTATCCTGGAAGATCGTGTGAAGGAAGACCCGCGTGGAGACATGGATGCGTGGCTCGCACTGATTGCAGAGTACCGCCGCAATGACCAGTTGGACGAACTGCGCGGTGTTTACGACCGGTTTGTGCAAGTGTTTCCTCAAGCAGTAAGTTAGCCCCTTCGTAACCGAGACCTTCCCTACTAACAGATACATAGGCCGAAATTTGGGCGGAATGGGCACAGCTTGAGCTGGACTCGAACCGATTCCAAACTGCTGAGGAGCTCTTCAACCGCTCCCTTGTGAACGCTCCCAACGTCAAGCTTTGGACAGTCTACCTCAATTACATCCGCAGAAGATATGATCTTACCAACGACCCTAATGGCGAGGCACGCCGAATCCTAAGTATGTCTTATGAGTTTGTAATCAGTTCTGTCGGTATCGATCGTGATTCCGGTCAGCTGTGGAAGGACTATATCCTGTTCATCAAGAGCGGACCTGGTCAGGTTGGAGGTAGCGGCTGGCAGGATCAGCAGAAGATGGATCAACTACGCAAGGCGTACCACCGCGCAATCACGGTCCCTATGTCCGCACTTACGGACCTGTGGAAAGACTATGACCAATTCGAAATGAGCCTCAACAAAACCACGGTAAGATAAATTGTGACTGATCGCTTAACAATTCCTCTAATGCTTTCTAGGGCCGTCAATTCATTCAAAAGCGCTCGCCTGCGTATATGACCGCCAAGGCATCAAACTCACAGCTTGATCGTTTGATTCCTAGACTACAGCGAACCACGCTTCCTCGACTTCCTCCTGCCCCTGGTTTTGATGGCGACCAGGAGTTCATGGAGCAGGTTGACCTTTGGAAGAAATGGATCCAATGGGAGAAGGAGGATCCGCTGGTTCTTCTGGAAGAAGAGCCCGAAGCCTACAAGGCTCGTGTACTCTATTGCTACAAGCAAGCGCTCATGGCACTCCGTTTCTGGCCTGAAATGTGGGTAGACGCAGCTGAATGGTCATTGGCGAACAATATTGTCAAGGATGGCAAGGAGCTTGGCTTGTCATTCTTGACGGATGGCATTGCAGCCAACCCTGAAAGTGTCTTGCTGGCATTGAAGCATGGAGATCGCGTGGAAATGACCTACCCAGCCGGAGACGACGATGCAAGCAAAGCTGCTCGCGCGAAAGCCATTCGTGAACCATACAGTCAAGTCCTTGACACGCTGTATGCTATGTCTAAAAAGCTAAAGGAACGCGAGGAAAGCGCGGTGCGCAAGATTGAAGAAGCTGCCGCTCTCGACCCCAATATTAAGGACTCTATCGAACGCAATGAGGACGAGGTTGACGGAGACCCTCTGTCGGCCGAGCTTGGAAAGGAAGAACGAGTCAAGGCCGTCAAGCAAGGATTTGCGGTCCAGACAGACATGCTGAAGCGAACCATCTCATTTGTGTGGATTGCGCTTTGCCGTGCTGCACGCAGGACGCAAGGCAAGGGTAACACCAGTGGAGGCCTTCGGCAGGTTTTCATCGAGGCTAGGAGTCGAGGCCAGCTGACCAGCGACGTCTACATTGCCGTAGCCAAGATGGAGGCTCTCATCTACAACGATCCCGCTGGTGGCAAAATTTTCGATCGAGGTGCGAAGCTTTTCCCCGAGGACGCTAGCTTTATGCTTGAGTACATCAAGTTCTTGCACTCCAAGGGCGACACGACGAGTAGGTACAGCACCTTTCCATCTGTCAATTGATACTAACTTGTGCTAGATGCTCGTGTGGTGTTCGAGACCTGCGTTAATCGCCTAACGCAAAAAGAGGAGAAGAAGAATCAGGCAAAGTCGCTGTACTCCTATTTCCACAAGTACGAATCGCAGTTCGGAGAGCTCTCATCTATTGCCGAGCTCGAAAAGCGCATGTTGGAACTTTGGCCCGCTGACCCGAAACTTGCCCACTTCGCCAACCGTTTCTCGGTAGAGACATTCGACCCAATTGCCTACCGCCTCATTATCTCTCCGGCTGTACAACTCCGTCCTAAGATGCTGATCCCCATAGTTGAACAACCCACTTCGGTTCGCCAAACCCCATTGCCGCCGCCGATTCGACAAACAGCTAGCCCCGCACCTCAGTACATGGGCGTCGTCAATTCGCCCAAGCGGCCCTTCGCTGGCGACGATTTCGAAGAACTTAACCGGCCGCGCAAGCTTGCTAGAGGAGAATCGCCACTCAAGGGCGCCGCCGGCCGCCGCCTCGACCAGCAACGACGGAACCAAGGCGCACCTCTCTCCAGGGATATCACGTTCCTTCTCGGCATTCTTCCACCGGCTCATGCATACGCACACTCGCCGGATGCCTACCGCCTCAACACCCACAACCTCGTCGGCCTTATCCGAGACACCCCTGTGCCAGACTACAGTGCTTGGAAAGCAAACCAGGACCTCCGCGCCAGACAAAACAACGGTATGCTACCCCCCTCTCATGGCCGGCAGGCCTCTGGTGATTATGCTGGATATAGAGCACTTGGTGCTGGACGGAATTCCCCACAACGAGCTTTGAGTCCGTTTGATGGCGCTGGACGTCGCCTGGTGTCTGGCTACAGAAACTCACCACTCCGACCTGGGTCTAGGGGCGGATCTTCTGAGCCTGCTGCTGCCGTCTACCGACAGGCCGCGCCGGCACAGCAGGGGCAGTATCCGCCCGCGGCCGCTGCATATGATGGAAGCGTTAATTGGACACAACCTGCCTTTGGTTATGGCCAAGCACCGGCGCAGCAATATGACAGACATCAATATTGAGCTTTGGACTGACAAGTGGATGTAGGGGCAGGCCTCCGAAGAGGATGGGCTTGAGATCAGGAACCGGAAGCCGTCTCATCGCTTCTTCTTTGACCGCAGCTAGCGTTCTGGTGTTCTTTGGACCTTGAACTGGCAACTCCAACGCCGATCTTTCGTCAACTTCACCTAATTCTTACGCTTGCGGGTTGACTTGTTGACTGCCTGTGTGTTTGAGGCTATTGACGCTTCACATGCGCATTGGAATTTTTTCTTATTTTAAATCGACGGACCTACCGGAGGTCATTCTTTTGTGATCTATGAAGGGACACAGCCGCCAGTCGGCTCAATGTTCTGTATAATACAAAAAGTTAGGGGGCCGCATTGTTGGGGCGTTTGGGGTGGCAGACACTTACTCGACGTGTCGTCATGAAATCATGCTCTTCTCGTCAAAACAGAAACTCGTCGTTCACGCAATAGCGCTTGGTGACGAAGCAATTTGGGAGGATCGGTGGATAGGTTGGAGGCAAGCAGCTGGGTTACAGGTCCAGCACCCCAATACATAAAAGATTTCCTCAAGCCATGCTTTTTCCTTGCATTGCATGCAGGTTGTGACTTCTGACAGCCTCTTGATATTGCGTTGTCTTGTGTCTTCACTTCGCTAAACTTCCATGCTAGGCCTTGCGAGCTTGATATAGATGACGAAGCTACTGGAATCTTAGACGGGCGAGCATCTCGGATCCTATCTTTTGCTTCGTGTTGGAGTTAAGTCAGGCAGGCTGTGAAACTATGAAGGGCACGATGCCGGTTTCGAGGGCAAAGCAAGTGACAGGCTGCCTACTTCATGGTACTGAGCCGGCATACCAAGATCTTTGACACATTAACCAAAAAGAGGGAATGAGTTCATATACCACAGATAGGCTGTATGTAGTAGTATCCGCCTTGAGGTACCTTTTTCCGCGCCTTCCCTCAAAGCAGATTTGACCAGCCTCTTGCCCTCCTCTCGTATTTAAGCTCTCCAATTCACACAAATCACAACCGCAACACCAAAAACGCCGTGTGCCATATTTCTCAACACCACCAACACAGTCGATTCTAATCTACTTCCTACCTTAATCCTTTCCTCTCGGCACTGCCTCATTCTGACTTCAGCTTCTAGTTTTATCAAATCGTACTTTCCTCCATCTTATCACAAACTTCAACCAGGTAAGCGAACCATACCTCATTCGAAATCTTACCCACCACCTTCACATCTACACACTAAACTCATATCTGCGGTTTTTTATTTACACTAACATCCCCAAGACAAGATTCCGAAGCAAGTTCTATTATCCACGTTCTCTCCTTCCTTAGGATCGAAAGCTCCTGCCTTTATATCTATACCCGCTTGGCCGTTGACGCCTTCGAGATTCTCACTACAAAAAGAGCCTACTTCTCCCACTTCAACCCAACCCAACCCTCTTCTTCACAAGCCTTCCACTCACAACCACTCATCACAAGCCAACGTTACATCAACTATCTTAAGGTATGTTACCTATCTGACTACACCACACTATCACACCCCAACTTCACCATCGTCAGCTTCATCGTCAAGGTGCTCGCCTCGCTGGTTCCTTCCGCATCTGTTTCCTTCCCTCTAAACTTCTGGAAACGCAAGATTAATCTAACCTACAATTAGCCCTCGATCTTTCGTACAACACTCATCTTCCTCCGTCCTTTACATACAAATCGAACAGCAAACGATAAACGTCAGGATTCTTACTCACAAGACATTCCACAGCTACTACAAACGCTTCTACCAACTTATCTTGTGGACTTTCATCTCCAAGATCAGTAGACCTTCATTGTCAGGATCACCTTCCTAACAACACTAACCACCACCAACGTAAGTTTAACGTGCCGCGACATCTTGACTCATCCGCTCCTTCCTCCCTTCACACATTTATAAGCTCCTTCCTTCTGCTCTTCGCCTTCTTCTTTGAAATTTCTGCAATTGATACCTTACCTTCCTTTAACTATTTCAATTCCAACCAAACTACATATGACGCCCTTGATCCATTCTCCACGATAGTTGCGTATCGCTAACACCAAGCTCCACAGGACAAATTCATCAAAAAGTCATCGGCAACATGTCTGGTCGTACTCAGCAACTCCGCGCCTCCTCCATGAATATGGACGGATCCAACGATGGTCGCTCCTCGTCCCGTGGTCCCGGAAGCCCTGGTCGCTCTCGCTCCGGCTCTCAATCTTCTCAGCGCCACAACCCTTTTGGTCCGTCCCTCGGCTTTGACCCTGCAAAGCCTGAGGGCCCCGGCCCATCCGAAAATCACGTCAATACGCGTCTTGACTTGCCCGCTGAGGCTTACTGCAAGGTATGGTACATCACGCTTTTTACTTAATGTGCGCTGTGGCTAACTTGTATATCTTAGAATGCCGGCGAGACTTCCTTTGCCAGGCGTCCTGGTTACAACACAGCTGGTAAACCATGCAATTTAGAGATCAACCAGTTCCGGGTTAAGTCTTGGAACGACAAGATGACAATCTATCAGTATGATGTCCTGATCACACCTCCACCTCTCAAATACAACGTCGTCTTTCAGAAATGCTGGAAACATCCGGCAGTACAGGCGATGCTCCAGAAATACAAATGCCTGTGGCTTTCTGACGGTCGCAGGCTAGCCTGGGCGCCTGTTGCGATTAACCGCGGTGAGGAACGCATCATGGTCGATTTGGATGAAGGCCTTCCTCCACCTAAGTCAGGAAAACCTCGTCGAGACAATAGCTTCAAGCTCATCCTTCGGCAGACTAAGCCGATCCATTTAGCTGCATTGGAAGCATACCTCAAAGGCCAAATGGACTGGGATAATACAGTGCTTGAGTCAATGAATTTTCTGGACCACCTAGTACGTCAGTATCCCTCGGAGAGATTGTTGCAAATCAAGCGCAACTTCTACAACGAGCGAGCCAAGAAGTCAATGGACCTGGGTCCCTTCTTGGAACTGGTCAAAGGCGTCTATGCATCTGTTCGCATGAACCAATCCGTTAGCAACGGTATTGGTCGAGGACTAGGCCTCAACGTGGACATCGCTAACACTGCCTTCTGGAAGGGTGGCAGCCCCCTCCACCTTCTTGTCAGGGACTTTTTGGCGATATGCGATAAGAACTGGCGTAACTTGCAGCCAGAGAGCATCGCTAGTCTTCTCAAACCCATTCGACAGACTGACAAGAATGGCAGCACAACTTTTGCCATGTCGGATGCATTTAAACACCTTCGCAGGCTAGCGAAACTTCGATTTACTCCTAAGCATCGCGGCAAGGAGAACTGGGATAAAGTATACCTTATCAAATCGATTGCGTTCGGCGCTGAACACGGTGAGAAGGGTGCAACTGCGGAGAACGTGAAATTCATGAACAACGGCGAGGAAGTCAACGTCGTTGAATACTTCAAGAAGACCTATGGCTATCGAGTTCAGTTTCCGACGTGGCCTCTTGTTGAAACGCAGAAGTCTGGTTTCTTCCCCATGGAAGTCTGCATTATCAAGCCAATGCAGCGCTATACTTACAAACTGGATCCTGATCAAACTGCTGCAATGATCAAAGGTGCTGTGACACGCCCTAATCAGCGCAAGGCGGAAATCATAGACGCAAAGAATCAACTGGCCTGGCGCGAAGATCCATACTTGAGACAGTATGGCGTTGTTTTTGATGACCAGATGGCTAAGACTACAGGTTCTATTCTAGAGCCTCCCAAGATTCAGTACGCCAACAATGTGACCAGCCCTATGTTTTCAGGCCGCTGGGATCTTCGCGGCAAGAAGTTTTGGATTAGCAACCGTCAACCTCTCCAGTCATGGGGTATTGTGATCCTCGAAAACTCTACTAATAAGCCTGCTGCTACACAGTTTGCTCAGATGTTTAAGCAGACATACACTGGACATGGCGGGAAAGTCATCAAGGACGCAGTTGTTGTCGATAGTGAGATGCGAAACAACAACATGGCCGATGCCGTTGCTAAAGCCTACAAAACAGTGCAAAAGGCAACGGGATTAACTCCCCAGTTAATATTCTGCATCCTCCGCTTCAACAACACTGGGTCATACGAGCGTATCAAGAAGTCAGCAGACTGTCGCTTTGGTGTTCTCACCCAATGTGTCTTATCCCGTCACGTTGAGAAGAACCAAGCGCAGTATCATTCAAACGTGGCAATGAAGGTCAATGCTAAGCTAGGCGGTATTACCTGCCGAATTCCCCATCCCTCAGGGCCAAATTCCAAGGCTCCCGCTTTCTTCAAGGAAGTCACAATGATGATTGGTGCCGACGTCTCTCACGGAACGCCTGGAATTGACGCTCCTTCTATGGCTACCATGACAATGTCGATGGATCAGGATGCTACCTTCTACTCAGCAGCAGCTGATACCAATGGGTACCGTGTTGAAATACTTAAACCTCTCAATATCCGGAACTTCCTTGCCCGCCTTATGCCTACATGGCATAAGCGTATGAACCACCCAGCACCACCTCCACATCTTATCTACCTCCGCGATGGTGTCTCTGAAGGCCAATACTCACAGGTCCTCGAATACGAGGTTGGAAGCATCAAGGCTCTCTTCAAGGAGAAATATCCTGGGGCGAAACAGCCAAAGTTTACCGTAATCGTGGCCACCAAGCGCCACCATATTCGATTCTTCCCTCAGCAGGGCGACAAAAATAACAACCCCTTGCCTGGTACTCTGCTCGAGAAGGAGGTCTGCCATCCTTTCTGGTGGGATTTCTACCTTTGTTCGCATGTCGCTATTCAGGGCACCGCCCGCCCGGTTCACTATACAGTCCTTATGGACGAAGCGAAGATGTCAGCAAATGACCTCCAGAAAATGATTTACGGCCAGTGCTATCAGTATGCCCGGAGCACTACCCCTGTTTCACTGCATCCGGCAATCTACTATGCAGACCTTGCAGCTGGCCGGGCTCGTGCGCATGAGAACATTGCGACTTCTCATGGTTTCCGTTCCGGTCCAAAAGCTGCAGAGATGGTAGAAGAGTACGGCGCTCGTGGTCAAAGCATGTTTGAGGGTGAACGGCCTACGGAATCTCTACCTCTTCTACCTCTTGGTGGTTCTCCTGGCGAGGCGGACCCCGCCAGCAGCGAGATGTTCAGGAACACCATGTGGTACATATAAGGAGCTCATGAACCTCTAGGGTGGTGGAACTGGCTGAGTGGAAAGTAGAGGATGAAACTGACATAAAGCGAGGCGAGAGGTCTTGACTCAGGCTGAGTTATCAAATCTTTGGCAAGGAGTGAGACAATTCTCAGGGAATCTGGTTTACTAGTTCCGGGTCTGTCATTACAGTGAACAGGCCTCAATCATCGGGGACTTGGGTGGGCAGGTAGCTCGTTGATAGTGAACGTTGCCGTTTCTCCAAACGCTGTAAGTGACCGTTCTTATGTGACTAATGATGTGTGAATTTAGGGGAGTTCGAGTGGGGAAATGTTCACCGGGTTTAGAAACAATGGCAGGGAGTGACTAACAACGGAGGACATCGACGAAGACAAAAAATGGTGAAGTAGATAAGGATCGCCGAAATAGCTTCGAAATGGGGCACAATGGCTTTGGTCTGGCGGAGTGAAACGTCTGCATAAGCCATCCACAGAAGACTTGGTCGATGGCAGAAGCTGGGAATCCTTTCAGCTGTATGCCATGTTCTCAAATTGGTCTTTGGCGGGAAGAGTCTGGCCGCCGCCTTTTAGTCAATTGTGGTTTGCAATCTATTTCACATTGGAGCGTTTTAGGAATTGAACTTCGATTTGGTAAACATGGCTTGAACCCAGAGGATTTTACCTTGATGAATGAAAAAGACCAAAGCAGTTTCTGAGACTGAATTTGTCGTTGTGCGGAACGGCTGTTCGCCGGGTTGAAAACGTATCAGCCGCTTGCTGGCTGGAGTGGATTATCCATGAGAAGAGCTGGAAGGCTTGACGACTGCTAGGCTGTGGTTGTGAACTTCAATATTCTTGTGTTCACCAGGAGCGAGTCGGCATTTGGCGCAAAATCAGACTGAATCAGAGGGCTTGAACAAATCGGGCAGTATTCGATGGAGTAAGCCCAGCTTACCTGATTCTGCCGTGGACAGCCGTCAAGCGTACCGCTACGCCGGGCCTCAGTTGTGTTCTTAGCGGGTTGTAAAAGTCCGCCATGAGAAGAAAGTGTTGTGGCCAAATTCAAGATATTCTAGTCAATATCTGCTCGTTTTTTATGAACCCATCTCATGGGATGAGTCGGACGAAGAACACTTCGTTGAGCTACGGCGCCCAGTGTCAGGGACTTCGTTTGGATAATCCTTTGACAGGCCTTGTATAATAGGGTTGTTTGGTACGGATAACCTCCCTTTTCTTACACGACCCGGGCCTGGGCCTGGCTTCAGCCGCTTGCCGAGGGCACGTTTGGATCTCGCGCAAGGCGGCTTGCCAACTTTGAAGAAGTCGATGGCTTTACGGAATGTAGTATTTGAGTTGAAGCCATAGTATCAGATTTGAGGCTGGTAACCTCCACTTACATGTTCCAATTGGACGTTGACGAAGGAGTCATGACACTGGAAGCGTTGATTGGTGCTCGGGCAGATTGGTAGACAACAGAGGTACTGAGGGAAAACGAAGTCCCGTAATGGGTCGTAAAAACATGGTTTTCGGAAATAGAACCAGTGCCAATCGATTAAGCAATCAGAGTTGAAGAAGCGAAGATTCGGTCTGTGTTACGGCATCAAGACCAGAATGTTGATGGTGAGTGCTTGAATAGCTAACTTCCATCTCTCTCCGTCTTTCCACAGGCCAGCCCGAGGTCTTCATTGTAAAAACGTTATGCGTGCTTGAACCGGTCCCCGTTCACCCTATCACCAACACTCGTCGATACCGAGCCTCTCACGGAGCTCGGCGACTATGCTCTTACTCATCGTGGCAACTTACACTAACAGGTGTGTCATTGCACGTTTCCAATCAGGCAGTCTATGTAGGTGTGATGCTACGGGTACGATGGCTGGGTATATTCTAAGTAGAGGACGTACGATAACTTACGTTGCGTCTTACTTCGTTGAAATATTGATAATGGATAATGAGAACGCCAGGTTGGTTTGGTAAAAGCAGTCGCGTACTGGACGCTGAGCTCACCAAATCCTTTCAATACACCGTTCCAGCAACTTAGAGGAATAGAGTACTATCAGGTGAGCCCAGACGCCCGACTTTGGGAGCAATGGGAAGGTAAAATGAGGAGATGTAGGTATTGATGAAAGAAAAGCCTGCCTCAGCGACCTGAAGCGGGCCTGCCATTCAACTTGTTGTATGCCAGTCCCGGCCCATACGGGGAGAAAATATATCTATATACTTCGTTGGAATATCAACGTCCTGAAAGACGAAAACCCTTCAGCACTTTGCAGCTCAATGAAATGTGCTGTGAACCTGTCAATGCTCAAGTTTAAGCTGCGTCCAGGCAACGTACGAACACAACTATCTGCTTCTCTTCAACCATGGAAAGCCGATCAACAAAAAACATATATCTCCAAAAAAAAAAAACGCATCATGTACAATTTTTAGTTTGGGTTTCGCCCGATTCCTCCAAAATACGAGTCTCCCATTATCATGGTGCGCTAGACGGCACTCAAGTGACACCCTACGAGAAAAGAGCCTCCGGGTACCAGCCAGATGAAACCGATGATACAAACACAAATACCTACAGACACTTTCTCGCACGACGATTAAATACGTATTTGAGCCCGATCACGAAGCCTAGACCGCATACACCGCGAGCCTTACCCCGCCGGCTATGCCTCATCCCACCCAAAGTCAGAAACTCAACACGCCCGTAGTCTAACTTAATATTGTTTGTTCACTAAACCATCAATGAATTCCGAGTCATTAGGGGTTTATATTTAACCGACGTCTGCTGCCGTCGCTTTTCCAGAGCAAACTTCGCACCTTTACACACTTCAAGCAACCTCCGCTGACGGGTTCAACCGAGCTACACGGCGTCCGTCCCCGATGTCGCAGAGCGCTGCAATGTGCCAACGATATTCCATCACCGTCGACCATACCCTTTCCACGAGGCTCCTCACATATCCATCTGCTTTCTGAGCCAGACGCTGGGCGCATTATCTACCTCCCTCCGTATCTTGTTACACGCATTCACGGTATACGACGAGGCACGTTTGATCATTGCTGATACAAACAAGAAACAACACCATGCATATCAACAACTCCTCTACAACTTCATCACAGTTAGATTCACTTAGGAACTACGAGGCATATGAATTGATCCGTAACACATAGACTCTTGTGTAAACACTGGTATAGTCGTACATAAATCCTCATGGACTCGACTCCAAAGTTTCGAACAACAAAAAAAAATAGACATGAAGAGGCAAAAAAAAAAAAAAAGAAAGATTGAGACAACACGCTCCTTTTTTTCCCACTCCTCCCACAACTGCCAAGAAAACACGCAATATTAATATACCATAGCAACTAAGAGAGAAGGGGTCTCCGCAAATACTGATAAAAAGATGCGGATAAAATACCCCCCACATGAGCTCTCCGCCCATGACATCAATGCAACCCACACTAGCAACCCACATATCTTCGGTATATTATACCCCGTGTGGCCTAGTATTTCCGCTACTCCCCATCGCCTGAGGACACGGCGACGATAACGAAACACGTCTATTTCGCGGTAACGACAACGTTGGGCACATCCAGCGACTCGCCCTTGCCCGATACGATGGGCATCTCACGACCGCTCTCCTCGGTGCCGAAGTTGGAGCTCGCGCGGCGGCTAAGAGTCAGGCCGGCGATGGAGCGCGCATTGGGGCCGTAGTTGATGTTGCTCGCCTTGTCGAGCGTCTCCTTGCACATGCGTAGGAAGACGGCGCCGAGCTCGGGGCGGTGTAGGGGGATGAGGCTGAAGAAGAGCGAAGCAGTGATGCGGAAGAGGGTCTTGCGGTGGAGGCGGACCGAGTACGTCTCCTCGAGGAAGGTGAAGAAGTGCTCCTGGAGCTCGTTGAGGAGGTCATGGTCGGCCTCGTCGAGAAGCGGCGTGTCGTTGTCGAGGGCACCGCGCAGGTCGTGGTTGTTAGCGCTCATGAAGAGGATGTGGTCGTAGCCGCAGAGAGACTGGAGAACCTTGCCGAGGTCGTAGTGGATGTCGCCCTCGGGCGTCAGCGTGTTCTCGAGCTGGCAGCGCACGTCAATGAAGCTGACAAGCTTCTCGTCCTTGGAGAGGATGGCGTTGCTGAAGACGGGATCGCCGTGGATGACCTGTGCGTGCACGCCCTTCTCCTCGGCCTCGTATGTGTCGAGGAACTCGTTGATGCGCGCGAAGAGGGACGCCGCCAGGGGACCGAGGGCGTCGTATTTCTTCTGATGCTGGTAGTAGCGGCTGCGCAGCTTGGAACCGTAGTTGGCGTAAATGTTAACACGGTGGTTGGCCCGCGCGAGTGAGTGCTCCTCGAACTTCTTCTCCAGCGCCGCGGGAATGTTGAGGGTGGGCTTGTCGGTACTAGCGGTCGTGTGGATGGTGTGCAGGGACTTGAGAAGGGAGATGAGGCGGCCCTTGGTGATGGAGCGGCCCACCAGCAGATGGGAGAAGGTCAGCCCCCTGCGGTTCTCCATCGTGATGTTGTAGGTGGTGGTGTCAGGGATGTAGTCGACGTTGTAGACGGTGGGGAAGATGTGGGCGATCTCGGAGGGCATGTGGGAGTAGAAAAAGAGCTCGCCGAGGATGTTCTCCGACTTACTCGATTTAATGACCTTGTCACCGATGATCTGGATTGTGTTGAAGTCGCGTGCCGCAATCATGCCCGCCTTCTTTGCCTCGTCGGCGGTGCCGGCATCAGGTCCGATCAGCGCCTCGGGGTCGTGCTCGTCCAGCAGCCAGCCAATCTCCCGCATGGTGTCCAGGTTGGCATTGACCGCCAGGTCGTCAACGTAGACGTCGGCGTAGGGCTTGCCGAAGTGGATATCATGGTAGGGGATCTCATACTTAGCCAGCTGGGCGAAGGTAACAGGACCAACGTCTGCGAGAACGGAGCCCATGTTGCCGTGATGTGTGCGCATGCGACGCGCCGTTTGCTGTGTAGAGTTAGTCAAAAGGTCTTTTGTGCCGTGAACACCCCTACTATGCTCGCCAAGACAAACTTACAATGATGATGTAGTGACCAGCCTTGTACAGCTGCTGCACCAGGCGGATGTTCTTCTCGATGGGAGGGCAAGTCGAGTAGTCGCCAGGCACGGCGGGAACGCCGACCAGGGTCATGTCGAGGTCGAAGCAGAAGCGACGCTTCTTCAACTTGATGGGCAAGTTGGAGGTATCGGTCTTGAGGAGCTTCAAGAGGTCCTGCAGCTGCTCGGGGGTGCCGACGACGCTGAAGTCCTTTGTGCTCAGAGGCATACCCAGGTAAGGGACGCCGTGCTGGATCATGAGGGCGATCATCTGCGAGGTGTAGTATTCACCAACCTCGGACCCGTCGGGCCTCTTCATGTCGAGGTTCTCGGCGGCCCATGACTTGAGCTGGCCAGCGGTAGGGAAGACGTATGCGCCCGTGTTTGCCTTGTTGGAAATGGCCTTCTTTTCTTGAATATCAACAATGCGCTCCAGGCCGTCCCTGTTTTCACTCTGTTAGCCATCACAGCCTGTTGCGACGATCGCATGCGACTCACTTGGGCTCCGTCTTGATGTAGGAGAAGATGGGCTTGTCGCCGACGTCGGGGAAGTAGAAGCAGCCACCGTGGCCCTTGGGCATGTTGCGAATGTCCTGTAGGACATCGGCCCAGTAGATAGTATCACAGTCGAGAGAGACAGTCTTGCGCTCGAGATGCTTCTTCGTCATGCTCTGAGTGACAATGTACAGCTGCAGGGAGAAAGCAATTTCGTTAGCTGAGATGCGCTACCATCTTGGCCCTACCCCTCCATTGGCGAGACGAGGGGCAGGCGGCGCAAAAAGAGGAAAGAGGTTCTTACCGTTTCGCTGGCACCCTTGGTTTGGTGGCGCAACCGCAGGAGTCTGAAGTCGATCTTGGAGAAGGTCTTGCTAACGAGCTGGCCGATTCTGAACTCATCGTCGACTTCCTCGTTAATGGCCATCCATAAGGTGTCGCCAGGCTTGAGGCTCAGGTTGTCGATCAACCACAACAGCATGGGCCGGCCGACAATGTTGATAAGGGGCTTGGGGTATCGGTAGCCCTGCTTTGCGAAACGGGAGCCGATGCCGCCAATGGGAATAATGACATTGATGGGCTCATAATCGACGTTACCGTTAGTAGCTGCAGCAGCAGCACCGTTGGCCGCCTTTGTCTGAGGAGCCATTGTATCGCGGGAATGTGACGTAAAAAGATCAACGGCTGCGTTGAGGTTGGAAGATTTCACCGGATGCGAAAAAGGAGGAGCGGTGGAATGGTCAAAATGCCAGTAAATCGCAAAGCCCGTTGGGGTGTAGTGGCAAGTCGTTTTCGTCTATCTCGAACGATAGGAATTGTCTCTGAATGATGGTGGAACGGTGGCGGTGAGGTGAGACTTCAGGACACCACAACCGAGAAACAAAACGTCGCGCTGCTTTTTTACCAGTGAAAGGGATAAGATAGAAGCAGTGAAAATGCAGATTTACAAGATTCCAACCCAACTTGCGAGAAGGAAGAAGGAGGGAAAAAAAGAGAGCAGAGAAATACGACTTGGAGCTAGGGGTCAGGACAGGTTGGACGCAAGTGAAGAAAAAGGGCCGGCCGGCAGTGAGGGGGTTAGGTGTCCCTCTCGCGTCACTCAGTACGTATCCTAGCAAACCAAACAACGGTACCTGAGTTAGGTACCAACAGCTAGCTCTATGGTCCCCAGCAACAGGAACCGCGATCTCGCCTAGTATGTAGGCCGAAGGGGAGACCCAAAAGGATAGGGAAAAAAAAAAAAAAAAGTTCGGGGCCTTTCCCTGGCAAAAATTGGCTTAGCTATTTCAATTTCTCCAACTCGAACAGATCCAATGCGGGCGGCAGCGGCCCCCAAAACCCCATCCGCTAGGGGACCCTCCATTCAGGCCCCCTGCTGTACCCCTCCTATTGATGCACTGGGCTCATCTTTTTTTTCTTACACACAATGTCGTACAAGCTGCCCGCGCTGCCTAGAATGGCACCTACTTGCGCTAGGTGGGAAAGGGCCAAAAAGACTGACAAGGATAGGGGGCTGCTCCTCAGGGGTCCTCTTGCGCGCTGAGCTGCTAATGGATGCTTGGCCTGGAGGCCTGGAACACAGAAAAGCAGACCATCTCATCTCAGGCTGCTGCAGAGCCATGAAGAGGCTGCATCAGAAGCCGAAATATCACACAGGAGCATAACACAAGGACGAATGGTTACTCTGCCGTATCTTACGTCCCAATAACCCCCTCGTGTTGAACTCGCGACCACGCCATGAGCTGCCATTTTCACGCCGATGGGAACCAGAGTGTCAATGGATTGCGGGAGTGGAGCCGCCCATTCGATAACAAATTCCCCCTCCCCCACCCCTGGCTAAGAAGGACAGTTAGCTTGGTTAGTTTGACACACAGTGTACCTTGGATTCCTCCCCTGTCTGCCCAAGAGAACCCTCGACGCCCGGACCAGCCCAGCCTAGCTCAAGCAGACCTGGCCTGGCCTTGCCTTGTGGGCTCCTTAAGTTATGTCTCCGTCTTAATGCGACCGTAAGTCGGTCGCGGCCTCACCTCATCAGTAATGGCCACCTATTTTGTCTTCTTTGTCCGGACGGGGCCGCTGTCGGAAAGTCTTCCCTAAAGCACGTACCTCGGCGAAACCTGCTGCTAGGGGTCTTATTCATGACGAGCGGGCGGCTGCCTGAGTGAATGACTGACTACCTGAACATGTTTTGAACTTTTTTTTTTTTTGTCTGACAACGTAGCTGCTAGGGCAACGATGAACGCCCGTAACATGGCGATCAGGTGTATGAGATGAGCAAAAGGGGTGGCGACGAAGGAGGCCAAAAATTGTGCGCGAGAAAGCAAGCCCCTGAACGAGGCGAAAGGAAGCAAGCACCGCTCTAGCTGGTCATGGTCCAAAGCTGTCAACTATTGACCTCACCACCCACCAATCATCAGCTTGTACGGATAGAATACTCCCTTTGCCTTTCGGCTCTGGCCATCTTAATTTCAAGGTCATTCTCTCACAAACTGTCTTGCTCTTGGCGCGGATTGGATAGCAAGGCAGGGGAAGGGTGATGGAGAGAGGGAAAGAAAAAATAAAATAAAAAAACGCAGCGAGGTTGGTACGAAAGTAGTAAAGATAATCCGGCTGTGCTGCGATCTGTCCTACGTGTGCAGCAACAGGTAACGAACAAGCCGACTGCAGCCATCCCAATCCCACCTTGATCCCAGGCTGGGGTGGGCACTAAATTGCTTTCCTCATGTTGTCAGCCCTGCAGTGGGATTGACGGTGACGCAGGGGGAGCGCAGAAACGTGGGTACAGAGTGGCTTTGGGTATTGGTATTGGTCGGTTGGTGTATGGCATTGTTGGGAAAGGAAGATGGGCTTGAAATGAGCCAAGATCTCTATTGGCCTTGAAAAAGCTGCGTATGAATATTCGACATGAAGGGCCGATCAGTCTGATCGTCATCATCATCATCGACTGCACTTGTGTCCGATCGATTGGTTGTGTTACTTGTCCTATGTTTCAGCTCAGGAGCTTTATTTCACTTGCAGATGGTTGTGGAAACAGGCGAGAGTCTGTTTGATGGGCTTTTTAGCTGTTTCCTGGCCACCGATATCGCCACGACAAGTGTATAATCTTCGGACTCATTCGAATTGAGGTCGAGTGGGAGACCTAAAAATAATTGACGCAGGGTGGATGATCCACAGCTTTGTATCTGATAGTAAGGCGATGGGAAATCAATAAAAAAGTCAGAGAAAGTATCGGAGTAGAGCTCCGCAGTCAGCGGAAGAGAGGAAGCAGGACGACGGCACGTTGCCATCGCTGATCGCAACATAGGAAACCCCACTTGGCAGAAGTCTGTTAGACAGCCGCGCAATATGGCAATGCTGCGATGAGGTTGGCGCGACTTGAGATGGACGGATAAAGTATCAATGTAGTAGCGACATCAAAGCCGGCGGACCCCGTTCTGAAACGGCATCTTGACTCGGGGTCGGCCATGAGGGCCGTGATGGCTTGACGGGCGGAGAATAACACGGTAGCCTGTAGAGTGGAAATGGATTGGCACCATAATTTTGGTGTTCCCGAAGCTACCGAGTGGCGGTGACGTACTGTCGGGCAGTCAAGGTAGATGCTGGGAGAATCCGGGGAATACAGCGAGTCCTTGTTCAGATAAAGTTATGTGGTGCGTTTCATTCTCCAGGGAACTGCCTCACATTTCCTCACTGGCAAATGTCGCTTGGCAGGGGGCGATGCTGTTGTCGCCAAGGCGCGCATCTGCTTTGAATGTTTGAAGCCGTTGATGATGGGAGGGATGATGCGTGGACGGACAGCAAAAGTAAGGGACGAATGGGGCAAAGGGGTGGGCGAAAGAGAGGACGAACCAGCAGTCCAAGTCCAATGCTGTGGGTATCTAGATTGGAGATGAAGTTATAAAGTTTCTTCGGCTGCCGCGTCTTGAGCAATACCTGAGGCCGGGACCTTTGGTCGTCTGTGCTCCGATGTCAAGTCCCTGCTACATAGTATTAGATCACCTTCTCGAAGCATTTTGAGACGCGTGATGGAGAAAAAAATAGCATCACCAACGCAACAAGGTTTACGGCGTATCCCGCTGGAACAGATGCAGGTTTGCGGTATGCCCATGTACCGCAGGGCAGTGCTGCAGGGCAGTGCCGGCGGCGGTTATTTTCTGCGGCGTGTATTCCTTCCTTCAGATTCGCGCGCCTGGCACCAGGCTTTGCTTGCACTGTTTTCGAGTTGTGGTTGATGCGTTGGTGTTGGTGTTGGCGATGGGTGCTATTTGCAAGTTGGTTGGCGATGGAGACGGTGGAGGGCTCGGCTAACCAAAGTACCATTTCTTGTCCTTTCGTTTCTTTGGGTGGTCCCTCGGGGGGAGGTACAAGGCCCATCTGTGCTTGCCCCATCGCCCGGATACGAGAAAGCTTTCTATTGGCATAAACGGTAGTAGAGCCCAGAAGAAGACGCCTTTTAGTAGTAGGAAATTTTACTGTAAGAATTTCCGCAGCTGTTGGGCCTTGCAATTCAATGGTCGAGGTGCTGGCCCCAAATGAGGACATTATGGATCACAAGATAAGCTCGCCCCTTTCATTACTGTTTTATTATCATTATGATTCTCAATACTCTTTCCTGGATTGTCTTCTGACTAAGATTAAGATTTTTCTCCTTCTTTTTTTTTTCTTTTCTTTTTTGTTATTCTCTCGAAATCCGCTGGCAAACATGACAAGCATTTTCTGCAACTGATATGATTTGTCTGTCGGCTTTGATGGACGGTATCTGGCTTGCTAATGGCGAAAGACGTCCAAACGGACGGCAGATGATTCCGATAACCTGGGACAAGAAGGAAGAACAAGCATCGCTTGCAGCCCTATTGACTGTGCGCACGGCACACACGTGAGATTCTATTGCGATTCAAGCTACGTCCACGTCCACACGTCCGGCAGATACGGTTGACATTGGCATTGGCGTTGGCGTTGGCGTTGGCGTTGGCGTTGGCGTTGCGGCGGCGGCGCAAAACTGGCACGGTTGCCGAGTATTTTCCAGCGTTGCCGTGTTCTTGTTGTCTATAGTTCAAGCAATAGCATCATTGGCATTATTAGGATACAGTGGTGGATGGGGCACCCATTTAGCACTAGTAGAATGAACATCTGTTCCTGGGAAACTGATACTGCGTGCTATCTTACCTTGCTTGGAATATAGTAAGGAATGTATTCGTATCCGTAGCAGCATCGTGAGAATGGCTTTTGCGCGGCCCGTACTGTATTGAATTGTCAGGCGGTGCATATCGGACACTGTAGACTTTTCTACCACCCTTGGGCTGCCTGGTGGCGGAGTTCCTCTGAACTTGACATTGGGAAACGTGCCTTCTAGTGCACTTTTCTCAACCCAGGCGGCAGGGTGGTAATGATCAAGTCAGCACCAAAGGGTGGTTCGAGTTGCGAGGATTCCATCCAACCATTGCCCCAGTTTATGCGCTTTACCGGAATAAGGGGTTTTTTTTTTTACTGCAAAATGCCATTTTCTTCGCGGCTCGTACTAATAAGGATAGGTTAGTACCCGTAGTCTTCTTTCTGTCAGACCAGGCTAGGAAAGGGTTGGCCAGCCACGCTGTCTCACGACGGTGCGCAATAGTTGGTCCGATGGAAATAGAAGAAAAATAAGAAAATAAAAAAGTTTCTGACACAATTCGAGGCGCCTATGTTTGGTGATTGAGATTGAGTTTCCCCCTTTTTCTTGGGATTTTGTCTGTATTTCGCTAAAATGATTCCGGTGGCTTTTGGTGGCGGCCGCGGCATGTCCAGCAGCTTAAGACAAACAGGTATCTGCAGTAGCTTGACAGGCGCAGCAATCGTTCTAACGCGCACACCGTATCCGCCTATCGCTTGAGGTTTCAACTCACCCGGCACCGATTCATCGGCTTGGGGGGAGGGGATCCTTGTGTCTCGGTGTCGCTGGGTAACCCGTAGTCGTCTTGAGCAAACATCGTGAGAAATATCGCGGCTTGGTTTTTCTCCCCTCCCAAGCACCAGCATTACTCGTCTTACCTTGCCTCGCGCAGTCCCTCTGTCTGTGTTCGCACCAGCATGCTTCACTACTTACCAGAACTTGCTGACAGTGATCTCTAAGACCTTTGTTGGAGATCGGCCACTTTAATCCTGACACAGTGCGGCCCCTCCGTGACCCCCTCCAGAAACAGTTAGCAAACCTTCTACCCCTGGTTAGGTTGTAAGTAATAATGGGGAGCTGCAGAAGGGGAGACCCCTTTCCTAGTGTGCCAGTGGACTTGCACCTCCTTCTACTCTACACTACGTCTACGGAGCACATAGTAAGGCGATCTCTCGCGGCCACCGACGGAGGCTGCACCGTGCTTTCAAAGTCGTCCAATCAACTATCTCTCTTTCTGATTTCTTCAAAATTACCCACTTTTACACCTAGGCCCTCAGTGGCCCCCTCTGAACCTTCCCTTCTTGTTGGAATTGCGTGGGTACCTAGCTTTATGTACTTGGGTACAAACAAGGACAATGGTCTATTTGTGAGACCGCGAAAGTACCTCCCGCGAGCCTGCCTGCGACAAGTCCTGCCCTGTACTGTGCTACTGTGCCTATGCGGGAAACTATGTCAACCTGATGTGGATGCCAGGGTTTGCTTTCCGTAATCCAGCGTCCCTCCAGGCCCCAGGTCCCTAGGGCCTCTTGCTTCCCCCTGGTGGCTGCTTGCTTCCTACTCCCCCGTTCCCGCATTCTTGAGGTGTCCGTGGGCTCTTCGCTTGGCTGCTTCGGTGCAACATCCATTCCTGTTCATCTGCCTCTCCCCCCCTTGTGTAATCAATATTCCCAGTTCTTTTTTTTACCTCTTCACTCCTTTCCTCTCCTGCAATTGTCTAGCGACATTTTCACATTGCGATCTTGGGGCCATCGCAGACGGAAACGAGCGACGACTACGACGACGACAACGACGATAAGCACTTTCAGACGAAAGTAAACGAAAATACGAAGAGGACGTCTAACACTTATCCGTCACGGCGACACGACAGGCGTCATCTCCCCACCCTCACCAAACCTAAAGACGAAGACCTTACCTTCTCGCCCTGCATCAACAGCAGCAACTTTCGCGTCCAACTACACCACCATCATTGACATTTCTGTTATTGCACATCGAGGTCGGACTGATCCTCCGCCTAGCTACCCATCTGCAGCTTGTCGTTTAAAACCTGGACACGCTCGTATTCCCCGGATCTCGAACCTTTCCTAACCGCGACCTGAACCCTCGATAATATACGACATCGCCATCCACCGGCTGGTGAACTACAACAATGTTGCGGCACGGGAGCATTATGGGGCTCCTTCTGAAGCCCCTCGGCTGGATTCCCAGCGGGCCTCAGCAAGCAGCCTACGCCGCTGCCCTCGGCTTGGTTGCGATTCAGGTTGGCATTGGTATCATCATGAAGATTTCCCAAACCGGCGGTTCCTACTCCTTCTCGCCCTCCGCCTCTGTTACAATTTCCGAATTTTTCAAGATGCTCTTGTCCACCGTTTTCTTTTACAATGAGTGTAAACGCCGTGCTGCCGACGGCATCCGTCCCTCCACTCGTGGAGGTGGCACCGGCTACTCTTCCCTCGCCACCTCGGAGCTACCCACCAACGAGAGGAGCAGTCTGGATGAGAAGCGCGAGGAGGAGGGACTCAACGGTAGCTCTAGCTCTTCCAGTAGCTCGGCTGTCGACAAGCACGCGCCCCTACCGAAGCTTGACTTGAGGACATATTGGAGCTACGTTCGTGGCGAAGTCACGAAAGACGTGCGATATGGCTTCTGTAACCTCGCCCTGTTTTACGTGCTTATCAACAACTCGGTACGTGGTGGGCTCCGTCGGCTGTCATATCATCAACTAACTCGCCTTTAGATTTTCGTCAGTTATAAGATGGCCGATCCCGGTACGATCCAACTGACCAAGAGTGGTGTTACATTCATTACTGCTCTTGTCATGATCGCGACCCTCAACACCAAGATTTCCAAGATCCAGTGGATTGCAATTGTCATGCAGGTGAGCTTGACCAAATTTCAACATTTAACTATCTTGGCTTTGCTCTAACACGAACAGATCTGCGGTTTAATGGTCACCCAGTACAACCCGCAGACCGGCACTACCTACTCCTTCAGCACGTATTTCATCCTGCTCTTCCAGGTCTTCCTGAGTGCGTCGTCGGGCGTCTACAACCAGGCTTTGCTCAAGACTGATGACTCGAGTTTGCACGCCGACAATATGATTCTCTATGCCGCCGGTGCCACCATGAACCTGATGTGCCATCTGGTTATTAAGGTTCTCAAGGCAGACGAGCCCGGCTTCTTTGAAGGATACAACAGCTTTGGCGCCATCATGGTCATAGTCAGCAACGTGTTCATCGGTCTTGCCATTACTGCTGTCTACAAGTGTAAGTAACTTCGACCCTTAAGAGGATTAACCCACTGACCCTTTTTAGACGCCGATGCCGTCATCAAGTGCTTCGCGACCGCTGTCGCCACCGGCATCCTTCTCTATGTCTCTCCTATTCTTTTCGGTACCTCACTCAGCTTCCTGGTTCTGCCAGGCACCGTCGTTGTCTTCATCGCCTCGTGGCTGTATATGGACAATCCGCCGCCAAAGGACCCCAATGCGGCTGCTTCAAACGACAACCAGAAGCTGTCTTTGTTTGGTAAGCTGGCTGCCGTCGCCCGCAAGTTCAATAAGATGTTCCTCATTGTTGCGAGTTTCATCACCATTGTCATCGTGGCATTCCTCACCATGTCAGAAGCCAAGATGCCCGACTTCGCCAAGGAGGGCGCAGCGAAGAGTCCCGCGTCATCCGGCCCAAAACCGGTCACTGGCACCGAGGAGAAGATTGAATCGCCGTTCAAGAACACGATGGCCATGATCCGATGGAACTCCGCTCACCCTGAGCGAATTCCTCTGTTGCAGAAGTACGAGCCGTTCTTCCACACGGTTCACATTTCCATGCCCAACATGTTCAAGGAGGAGGACCCTGAGTTCCACAACCTTACTCATGATCAGTTCGCTGGCACATTTACCGTTTACAAGCAGGTCGCTCGCACAATGAAGCTCATTTTGGATACCCAGCCCGAGATTGACGGCTTGATGTACTACCACTTCGACGCCTGGATCGATCCCCTTGGCTGGACTGGCATGAACCCTTACAACATCCACTTCCCCGCTATCATCGATACCGCGCCACCGTCTCATGGTGGTCCCGAGTACATGTGTTTGACCGAGACCAAGAACTACAACTGGTGGGGCTGGGGCCAGGACTTCCACCGCACCGCCATGGCGGCCGCCGCTGTTGTTGATAACTTCGACCTCGAATACAAGATTCGCCTCGACGAGTGGTGCGTTGGATGGAGTGACATCTACTACATTCCCCGACGATTCTTTGCCGACTATATCTTCTTGTCCGAAGTTTTTGCCGGATTTGGAGTCTTCCACGAGGTTGCCATTCCTACCATGATCCACATCATCGACGAGAGCCGCCGCCGCAACCCCTACAGATCCATTATTGACCATATCAGCGACTGCTGGGGCCACTGCTGCAGCTCGAACCCGAAGGTGCGCGACGTTCTTGGTGCCCGCTGCGGTCATCGTCTCAACTATCTGGAGGAGGTCCCGACCAAGGCGTTCTACGACAAGCTTGATGCCCAGGCCAGCATTCTCGGTCAAACTCTCAATGCGACCAAGTACGCCATGACCAGCGCCGAGAGCGCTCACATGTTTGACAGCGCAGCCCTGGCCAGCCTGAACAACAACGAGGCCAAGAAGATTGCGCCCGCAAAGGACGACGCTCTGGAGGACGACCAAAGGGCAGAGAAATTGCAAGCTGACAAGGCGGCACAGGAAAAGGAGAAGCTGAAGACTGAAAATGCACCTGTCGACAAGACCGGCAAGCCTGGTGATCCCAAGGCTGACCCCAGCCAGGTCAAAGCAGCAGCTGACAAGGAACCTCCTAAGGAGGCCCCTAAGAAAGAGGAGCACAAGGAGCCTCCCAAGGAAGATCATAAAGAACCTCCTAAGGAGGAGGGTGACAAAAAGGTTGATCCGAACGACGCCTTGAGGCAAGCAGATCGCGACCCCGACGTCAAGCGGAGAGTACGACGCGAGGTGGCCGCTGCCGTCGCCGGCTTCGGCTACTAAGCAGCTCCACTAGCCCTGTATTCATTTAATTTTTTCCCTTGTCCTGTGCGACACTATTTTCTTGTTTCTTTTGCCTTTTCCTCGTTTTTCGAGATATCCCACATCGAAAGATGATCCCGACGGTTGATACGAGCAACGACTGGAGGTGGTGGTGTGGTCTGGTAGATTTTGCTTTTGGCATTGAGACGCCCAAGAACCCAAGCGTGATCCGCCAAAACGGAACGTGTGCGTACATGCATATGCGTCTGCTTTTCCGCTGGATACGGTACGATATATAGACTCATCGAATTCTACTTTTTTCTTGTTTTTTTGGGCAATCAGGTCGGCGGGGGTTAGGCGCAAAGAGACGGGACACTACCAGCCTGACATGGGCAGCGCAGCAGCAGCAGCTCATGTATTCTCTGTATGATATATCTCGACACCGCAGAACAGAAGGGACCGCCTCATGGCGAGTAACAGAGGTTGGACTGGGCAGGACTGTTTATCGGTATAAAAGAGTGTAATAAAATCCCTTTTTTTGTTCATTTCATCCATTTTGCAATGCTTCCTGCACGTCTTTGTCTGCTGCGATCCGATAATGCTCGCATGGATGTAGTCTACGTTGTCGGTCGAGACAAGCATACCTCCTCGTTCCTCTCGATTTATTTTCGCCTCATTTTACCCACTACCACCATCGTGGGGTAGTGCAAGCTTAATGCCTACGTGACGGACGGCTACTTCTGTGGGACGCGTGTGCGTGTGGTTTTTTTGGTTTTTTTTTCATTTCTTTTTTTGGGGCGGGAATGGATGGATGATCGCATTTGAAGTTGAAACGTTTGCTGTTTTGTAAGAGGGGAGAGGGGAGGGGGGGGTGGGCGGCCCGTCTGGGGGGAGAAACGTGCGTGCGCGCTGAGAGGGGGGGTGAGAGGAACGTTTATAATGCGTTTATGGGGTATGACGACAAGTGCTTGGGGGCGCACTTTGTTCGACTTCATGCGAGGTTCATGTGAAGATTTGAAGCTTCGGGAGAGATATTGAGGACGTGGATTATGGTAAGGTAGGTTAGGTAGGCGAAGTGCAGCGTCAGCTTTTATTGTGTTCTTCACATGACAGAAAAGGTCACAGACGCAGTGGAATAGAGTCGAAATCTCAATATATTTATCTTTATATGGCTTGGTAGTTCATCTGAGTATGCCCAACTAGAGACGTGGGCGTGAGAGAGATACAAAAAGAAAGTCATAATTCAATGATGCAGTTAGCGATGATGGTCTACAACTCCTCCGTAATCCATTCATCCTTGGCGGGAGCCTTCTCCTCGTAGGCACCCCAGGAGCTCTTGAGCGCGGTAGCCTTGAAGTCGAACGTAATGCCTTGCGCGTTGGAGCCGCCCCGCGTGAGAATGATGCTGTCGAGCGGCTTGTCGGTGAAATAGAGCATGGTGCCAGCCTCGACGCCGCCGTTGACGTAGACCTCGAGGATGGAGCGGTCGATGATGCCGTGCAGGTGGAACTCAATGTTGGCATCAGAACCCTCCTCCGACGCGGCCTCGAGGGCCTGTACGTCCGAGATACCGTAACTGCCGGATCTATCCCAGGTGGTGCTAGCGCGTGCGATGTTGAAGCTGGCTACGGGGGCGGCGCTGCCGGCGCTGCCGGTGAACTGGAAACCCAAGGACACCTTCTCCGCACCGTTGGACTGGGAGCCCTGGAATGAGAGCTCGGCGGACGCAGTGGAGCCTTCTTGGAGCAGGGACCGGGCCATGCGGACGGTCAGGGTCCACTCGACGGCAGGGTCGAAATCGCGGATCACGGAACTAGTGCCCTCGATGCCCGCAACGTTCTTCTCGTCAATTATGGGGTTCCAGCCGGGGGTCGTGCTTGCAAGCTTCGAGAGGTCGCCAGCAGGCACGGAAACAAGCTTGTTGGTGTTAGCGTCCAGCCAATGACGGCGGACGCCGCCCATGCAGTGGCGCCAACCCTCACGGTCCGTCGGCGTGCAGCATCCGTACGATGATGCGTCGACTGCCCAGGTGACAGAGTAGGCGTCGTGGTTGGCGTCGTCGAGATCTTGGAAGTGGAAGAAGGCCGTGGCGTAGTTATCGGGGCCAAAATCAAAGTCGTGGATCGCGTAGGTGTCTTGCCGCGCGTGGATGGTATTCCGCGCACTGCGGCCTGAAACAGGACCGTCTGGCGTGAAGTGGGTGCCGTCCCAGCTGCCGGTGAGATACTTCACCTCCGCTCCGCCAGTAGGAGAGCCACCGCCCAAGCTGAGGGTCAAGACCCATTTGGAGCCGACCGGCTTCCCGGACTTGTCCTTAAGGGGGATCTGGAGGAACTGCGGGCATTCAATCATACCAATGTTGCGCTGAGGGTTCCAGTACGACACTTGGGTCCACTTCACCAGGTCTGTCGAGGTGTAGAAGGTGACTTGGTTCTCCAAAGACAATACCATGACCCAGGTCTTTGTCTCGTGGTGGAATGAAATCTTGGGGTCGCGGAAACCGTGGCGGTTGAGTGAGATGATAGGGTTGCTCTCATACTGGTTGAAGGTCTCGCCGCCGTCGTACGACCACGCAATGTGCTGGGATTGCTGGTCGGGCTCCCATGAGGTGTAGTAGGCGATAATGTTATCTTTGCCGTTGGTCTTGTTGGATGGAAAGAACCCAGACACGTTTTCCTTGTCGATAACGACACTTCCCGACCAAATGGAGCCGTCACGCGCAGAAGCGGGAATACCAATTGGGTGGTCAACCCAGTTGTAGAAGTCGGTAGCCGTGGTGTGGCCCCAGTGCTTCGCGCCACCTCCCGGTACATTATCGGCATCTGAAATGATCAGCGGTAAATTCTTCACGAGATGTCGCACGAGAAATAAAACTAGACTATACGAAGTGCTGCCGGAGCCTCATTCCAGCCAAGGTGCGCGATCTGAGGTCTTGACCCGGTGCGCCGGGCAAAGGCGCCCAACAATGTAATGTCTTAATTCTGCACGGAAATGCGGGGTGACGCTGCAACGGTCATCATCGCACATGTGATGTTTCCGTCTTTGGCAGAGTTGCAACCCTCACGGCAGCGGGCACTAGCACGTGTGCAGGAGGCAGATCCAATAAAACAAGCAGAAACACGCCATCGATATTACATGAGCAAACGGGTTGTCGTTTGTTCAGGGGGCTGCAAGATGTGTTCCAAACGTCCAATTCCGGCGCGATTGAGTCGGAAACATGACTAGGCAAGAGAGAGACTACGAGACTGACTTACACTGGTAATACATGTGCCAGACGCCGTCCGAATCGATAAAGAGGCCATTGGGATCATTCATCCAGTTGGAGGGCGGTGAAAAGTGAATCTGCGGCCTCCAGCGAGCGGAGCGATCGGTGCTGGCCATCCTGGCTGTGTGTGAAGGTTCGGAGCGTTTGAGCTCTTCTTGCGCTGGAGGTTGTGCTTCTGGGTCAGGGAAGAAGAATCCTGGAAGGGCGTTTGTCGTCGGGGCTGCAAGCAATGTCGACAGAAGCGATGTAAAGAAGAGATTCTGACGCATGGTTAGGCGAGTCCGGCTCCCCGTTCCTTATAGAAAACCAGTGTCAAAGTCTCGGCGAGACGGTGCGGGCAGACGAGGGGCGTCCCTGATCGACAGACTTCGGATGGATTGAGTAGCGGAACGTGTCAGCGCAAGAAAGTAGAGTGACTTTAGGACGAAGCTTGCAGGTTGCGCGCGGCGCAGTCAAAGTTCAGCTGGAACGCCGGTGGGAAAGACGACTTGTCAAAAGGCTGGAAAAAAAGAAAAGATGCTTGTTCGCCGTCGCTGTCTCTGTCCACGAAGAGGATGTGCAAAAAAGGGCGTGGAAGACGGAGATGGGTCCGGCTGTCGTCGTCAAGAGATGGCGGCGGTATTTATCGAAATTGCAAGACAGTCCGGTCGGTTCGTAACGGCCTGTCTCTTCAGAAACATGCAGCCGGCAAGCAAGCAGAAACAACAACGGCCAAATGTTATTGTGCCATTACTTTAGCTTGGTCTCGGCCGGCGCAGCAGCAGTGGTAGTACTGGCGCCGGCACAACCATTTGGCAGAATTGGTACTTGGAACCACTGACAAGCTTGCAGCGCCTGAGCACCTTGGAAACAGAAACTGGGCAAGTACCTCCTGGAAAGTGGACGCCAAGCACAAGAAAGAGGGAAAGTTGGGAGGGGCGCATCACACACCATGCGTCAAAAGACGAGTCTCATGACTCTTGTCGCAGTTGGCAGGTGGCTGGCTCCCGTGGCCCTTTCTTTCCCCAACTCTTGGTTTTTTGGGGTTAAGAAACGGATAGAGCAGAAAGAGGGCCGGATAGAAGGCAGCCAAAGGGATAAGAGAACACACCCCGCAAAAGTGACCCCTGGAAACTCCGGTTCTTAGGTGGGTTCCCTTCCACCCGGATCGCTATTGGTCGGAAGCCCAGCAATTCTCGTTGACAGTGCTTCTCTTACCGGCCTAGCGCCCCGGTCATCGCCGGGGGATACAGCGGCTTCGCTGCTGCACAACACCCTGTGATAGAACCATGTTTCTGGGGAAGACATGCGGGGGGTTGTAGAGGTTGAAGACACGCGCTTAGACTCGATGGAACATGAGAAGAGATGAGCGGAAGCCATGTGAACGACTTGTGGATGTTATCGAAGATGACATGATGTAAGATTTTTCATTTTCCGGACCCAGCAATGAGCAAGCAACACAGGCAGTAATGACATAAAAATATTTTTTCTTTCCTTTTCCACCCCTTCCTCTTCTTTGGTTCCTCTGCCTCTCTTTCTTTTTTTTTTTTTTTTTCCCACTCTGCCACTCTGGGCATGAACAGGAGCGGGAAAGTGGGGTCCGCTGAGCGGTGCCCCTCATCCAGCGGGAAACAAAGGAGGAAGGCCCTCCAGTGTCTTGAGTGACGACAGGTACTTTGTACATTGCACTGGCAAGATGTATTTTCCGCGGAAGCCAAGACGGGCCGGATGGGAAAGCTTACCTGGGGGGGAAAGACGGATGTTTGTCTCAGTCACCCTTGATTCCGATATGAATCACGGGACGGGCAAACAAGTTGTTTCTCCCCCTGCTCCAACCGACAAACAAGCACTTTCCCATCCGATCAGGCGGCCAAATCGTCATTGACAGCTTCGGGTAAGTATCATCCAAATTCAACTTCTCCTTCCAACCGCGGGGTAAACCCTCAAATGGTCTCATTCTTGATGCGTTTTCACATCACCTGGAGCCAAAATTGTAACGGTATATGAGAATCGAGCGAGACACGGATCGGCGCAGATTCAAGACATGGCGGCCACGCGCTCCCGAGCCCTACCCGGCTTGTATGTTCTCTCTTTTCTTGCAGATCACCCGAGTCATGATGCCAAGGTCACCAGCCTACCGGCACTTGCCCGACGTTACTTCATATATGCATTGCCAGTCTGCTCCAGGCCACGAGGTGTTGAAGATCTCTTGTCCGCCATTTTGATGCCACGCTGCCATCGACGGCATCACGACCTTTCGTGAAGTTTTTTGCCATTCTGATGAACACGAGACGATGTTACTCGAAGCGGAGTCGATGCAACGTCTACTGAACTAGTACCGCCGTAGCAAAGCGAGAACGGTCTAAAAGTCTGGCCTCATATCGGGCTAAAGTCGGCTTCCAACACTGTTGCTCGAGATACCAATTTCATACGAGTCTTAAGGACGCCGTTGCCTCCGTATGGCTTCCTTTTCACCGTCGGCAGTGGATTCAAGCACGTCTAGAACCTCATCGACCTTTTTTTCGTCGTGCCCCAGATTCCACTTGGTGTCTACATCTTGTTAAACCTGACGTGTCACCCTTCACAATGCAGCTGTTGTTCCCCCGAAAGGTTAGCGATGGTCAAAATCGACCTTGGAAAGGTTTCGGACAACTTCCATCACAGACACACCGCCACCTTAAGAGCTTATGCATCCAAGAACAAGACAGGACCAGATATGCAGACTTGTCGCTGCCACAGTAACTCCATCATCCACACGCCGGTGTGTCATTCGGATGGCGGCGGCTGTTCCTGCTTCCATTCTTGCGGCCCGGCCTGGTGTGCGTGTTGATGCCCATTCACACTACTCCGTGGAGATGTATGACCGGACCGGATCCTTAGTCTCACGACGGACCATCAAGACGTGCGCTACCGCTGCTGATGTGCCTGCCGTTGACGAATACTGGAGATCCACTCGGGCTGGACCATAGGTTGGGCCAAGGGCTGGCCCTGTTCAGGAACAAGGTCATCCAGTTCCGCGCTCGGCGCCAGTTCATGATGAATGTTTTTTCTGTGGGCTCACAACGACGTGTGCTTCTGAACATCTAGCTTCTTGCCTCCAGAATGGGTGTGAGCATGTTTTGTGCATTGCGAATTGGTTTCCATCAGCACTTGCAAAGTCTCGTTCCCCCAAAAATGTGCCGAGCAAAATAGCGAGGCGGAGCCCTGCGCCAAGTAGTCATTTGGAGAAGGCGATTGCCCTAAGATATCAGATGAGCTTGATTGATGCCAGGGGAAGGCGAAGAGCAGCCAATGATGTCCACCCTACACAAGGCTAAGAGATGAGGTTATCGCTAGCAAAAGCAGACGGAGACAAGGGCGCCGCCAGCCAGATTCCGCAAAGCAGTGGGCGGAAATTGGGAGACGTGGTTGAGATTGGTAAAATACTCGTGCGGTTGATTGATGATATCTTATTGTTGTTCTTCGGGGTTGATTTACAGTATATTCCCACTTCATGTTACTGCCGACTTTTTTCTTTTTTAGCCTTCCATATCCAGAGACCTCTGCGGCTCGTCGAAGGGCCTGGCCCCGTGCCCCATTCTCAAGGGCTTGGTATGATGATAGTGTAGAATGATGGTGCCGTTGGGCGAATGACGACCTCTCTTAGCACGGCGGAGCGGAGCCCAACGAGTGAGCGCTGGGCACTCATGCAGGTTGCCCGAATTGACGAAGGTGAGGCCCCAGTTTCGCGCCATCAGCGACGCCCAATTGGCCCGACATACCCTCCCACAGTCACCACACCCTGCATTTTCGTGCCCGTACTAGCGAATGGCCGGCTGTTAGCCCTTCGACTTTTGAGGCCCCCTCCCAATTGCACCGCCCCGCCATATCCAGCACGTCGAATCGAATCTGCGCTCGACTTTTACTTAAGTAAACCTGGCGGCCCGGTTCCTTGTCCGTGAAGCAAAAACGACTTTACCGTTTCCCCCACGTTCTGATCAACCCTGTACGCCAATCCCCGAAAGAACCCCGATAAACGCAACCGCAGCCCCGCGTCGCTTTGAGCCTCATCCGAGAGAACTTTGTCCGAAAGAACTTGCTTGAATACAGCACCCCAGGAACCGAAATATCATAGGATAACCTGAACCGGCTATCCAGCAATCGACGCCGCCCTCGGATCCTTAACATTCAAGGATCAACACCACCCAGTCTTCATTTCCTCCCGGAATGGCCCGATAGCATCTCTACTCCCCAACATCGTCAGCTTGTCGCAAAACACCATTACCTCTTAGGTAGCCTCCCCGGAGTATCATCAACCATCCTGAGAGCCGCATGCGGGGAATTTCCCCGCCTATTCTTTGACTCGGTCAAAGCACCCTTCAACTCAGGGCTCGCTGTTGCCTCTGGACTCCTCGCCGCATCTTGCTGCGCCCATCTTTGGCCCTCCTAACGAGCCTTTGCACTTCTCTGATCGCCAGATCAGACCCGTAAAACCAACACCACCCGGAACACCCGCCAGTCTGCCAAGGTGGCGTTTTACCTGGACACCAGCATACAACCCAACCTAGTTGACTCTTGTTACTGCGTGTTACTCGGAAACACCATCTGCTATTGCGAGTATTACTCCGACTTGACGACCACTTCTCTGAAAATAGAATCCGTCGACGACCCCCCTCCAGCACCTCCCCCTCCGCCTATCGGCTTGCCGACATGGAGATCACCTATGGCACTTGGTGTCATGGAGTGTCTACTCGGCACCCCCTCCTCTTCTTCGGGCATCATGAGCCCGAATCTAAGCCCCCTAAACCCCGAAATCGAGAATGAAAGCGACAAGGCGAGCGATAGCGGGACGAGCAATGACGCCGTCACGCCCGCTGCCGCCGCCATTGTCGGGGGAATTGACATTTCGCGCCTGCGGTTCGAGTGCCGCTGGCAGAACTGCGGCAAGGTTTTTCGCAGACCGAGTGATTTGACGTAAGTTTCACATTCACTTTCATTTTCAAATCCCACATATCGAATTTCAAGGTGTTGATGTCGAGGGTGAAATTTGAAAACGTAAAAAGAGAAAGAGACAGGACTAACGCGAACACAGCAAACATGAAAGATACCACATCAAGGAGTACCTCTGCGACGAGGTCGGCTGTGACAAGGCCTTTGCCACGCAAAAAGACCTCAAGCGGCACAAGATGACGCATGAGACGCTCGACGGCAACAGCGCCGGGTACCGATGCCGCGTCGCCGGGTGCCGGAAGGCCAAGACGGGGCACGTGTACAACCGCCGCGACAACTTTGTCCGCCACCTGCGGACGAAGCATGTGGGCATGGACTTTGATGTCAGAGAGGAATATGACATGACGTACTGAATGCTTTGCTGTCTTTTGGTGCACTTTGAACTTTTTCGATTCGAGATTGAGGAAACTTTTGGAAAGCCACCCCCTGGGCTCTACGACGCACACGTACGACGAGCCGGGGAGCAATGGGAAGAAACATTACAGGAGATGAGAGGATTGCTGAACATCGAGGCAACAGGATTTTCTAGTTTTCTTTCTTTTCCTTTTTCTTATTGGGTTTGGTGCGCTCCTGCTTACGAGCAGTTGAGCTCAACTTGGGTTTCTTATTACGGGCGGCCAAACGGGATAATGATAGACATGGGCTTCGGCAAATTTTTGCCTTTTTATGGGTTGTACCTGGATGGATAACGGCGGGCAATTTGTCGGCTGTCTTCTCGTCCGCCGAGGGTGCTTTCGAGAAATGCTGTGTGTTACGCTTTTTATGAAGTATCTTGGGACGGGTTGGACTTATGAGTCGGGCCTTTGAAAGAAGAGATTTTTACGGCCGGATTTGTATATGCCAGGGACAGTAATACCACGAACGAAAAAAGTCATGTTTTTTTTTTTTTATGTGCTGGGAGGCCCTTTTATTCCATCTCTTTTTGCAAAGGTATAGACTAGACTTTTTATGTGAGAGTGTTTGCCCGTTGTTGTTTTGTTGGGTGGGTCTGGCGCTCCCGCTTTGGTCTTGATATTACCATGGTCTTGGCTGTATGAAAACAGCCGGGTGAGATTGGGGCCTGTCGGGGAAAGGATGGCTTGTTGTGGGATTCGCTGGTCTCATGGAAACGTTCTTGACATGATTGTGAGAACTTGAATATATATATATATATACCTGTGTCACTGCATTTCTCGTCTTCAGATTTGGTGAATGAATATGTGGAGGGTTCGTTTGTCATGTCGGTTGGATGTTGGCGGTGCGGCATGTGTTGGTCTGAGCGGACGACGTCTGTTATTTGACCAAGTTGTGCCCGCTACCTGTTACTGACTACGGCTTTTTAAGTGCCAGACATAGCGAGGAACATATAAGGATAGTTTGGAAAAATGTTATAGGGCGGTCTGGTCTAAGTTTGAATAGGAGGATTTGAGAGCCGTGTGGTGATGACCACGCCCGAGAAATTCACAGGCTGCCTAACAGTACACGGCTTGGTCATTAGAGTATTAGCTGGCAACATGTTTTGGTGCCCTTGAGGATTGAGCGAGTGCCAAGGGGTTCGGCGGCACGCTTTTGATGTTTTTGGTTCTCGTTTCTACTCTTGTTTTATGCAACTTGCGGCTGAAGTTCTCTCATTGACAGTATTAACAAATGCAAGGTCTCAATTATCAAATACGATAGCAAGGTTTACGGATGAAGCCATAATACGAGCAGGAGCCGCTTAGAGATGTGATGTTGATCCGCTCAGGTTGACTTGTTTAGCAGGAAAATCCTGCCCCCCCCCAAGGACTCTTGTTGTCAATGTCTCTGGAGCACTCAATGAAGGTTGCTAGATCCAACAAGACATTAGCAACAGCACGCGCATGCTGTAACAGCCTGTTCTCTGATAGCAAAGTTTATATGATATGGAGGAGTAGCCGGGGATGTGTACAATGGTGATTTAGAACTTTAAGAAATCAGAAGAAAGGTCATAAGTGACGCAGTGTAAAGGTTGTAGCTGGCAGTCGGGTTCTACTCCTGTGTCCCGGAGCGGTAAGCTTTATTGGACGGACTCATTATTAATAAGGCCGCAGGGACAGACGTCATGAAATTTTGAAAGGCCGAGCCACTCAAGGCCTGATCACCGGAAACCAGGCAAAAGGCATTCGGCTCCAGAAGAACTAAAATGAGTGTCGTCTGAAGCCGACGGGACTATGGTAGTTAGAGTAAACATCCTGACTAGTTCGAGTACGAGATATACCAGGCGAGGATATCCTTGGCTTGATGTTCAGCCCCCCCAAAACGACACACATCACCGCATCGTCGTCTGTTCAGGAAAGATTACAGTTACCACAGAAACCTATTATTCTGCCTGTGGCCCTTTTCAAAGGGTTTTCTGACAATTGGTGGTTGCAGAATTAGGGACGGTGTATTCTACACCTAGTTGGTTGAGTTGCGGTTGCTCACATCATTACCTGAGTTGCGCCGGCATTGTACGCCTTGTGTCGTAATCAACTCTGCGCTTTAGAACCTGGATCTCATGAGAGACACAACGCAAATAGCCAGGTAAATTATGCAACTCCTGTTGCTGTTAAAAGCCGTTTCTACCAGAAGTGGCATATCTGGGGCTGGATGTAAGTCTGATTCCCACAACCTATTTTTGTCTGAAAGCTCACGTGTCGCGGCCCAAAAGCACACACATTGCATTGCTTCAGGCCGGAAACAGTGTGGCAAGAGGTAATCGGCCGGTTTTCGTCTGGTATCATTGCTGAATACGAATAGCCATCTGCAGGGCTCAATCAAACTTTGTGGGTTGCATTTGTGGAAAGGCAATGCAGGAAACGGGCACTTTTGCAGACATCATGCGGGTGTTGATGTGAGGGTAGCATTCGTTCTGCTTCAGCCCAAACAGTTCATACAACCTAGTGATTAACCTGGCCCAAAGAACAACGATTAAGAACCTTTGAATTTCTTCCGCCTCCGTCAAAGATTATTTGCTCACCGGTCACCGCAGTGAATACGCTCGGTGAATGGGGGGTGGCAATCCTCTGTTTCATAATCCAGAAGGCGAACAATCAAAGCACACCAGAGACCCCGCGGTCCCACTAGAAAGACATACGGCCCAGCCCGCCAACGGCGATTTTCCAGCAGACCAAAAAGGAAAGGTGGCACACCTGTCAGTAAATCACTGTTCAGGGGTGCCCAAGGAGTAATTGTCATCTTCCCGCTGCCAGAGTCGCATAAGCACTGCCAAAAACCCCTCTCTCCCTCCCCCCTGGGTTGGTAGCATTGACTTAATCTCGCCATGCTCCACCCACAACTCGACCTCATCAAAACGAGACACACACGCCCACGAAATGGGAGAAGGAATGCGCCTGCAACTTACTTTTACCAAGCCGGGGGAGAAAAAAGAAACCAAAATCTAGGCGTAGTCAGCTTTTCCGACTGCGAGAAATGACTACGAATACCGACAGCGCGGAGTTGGCGCGGCGTCTCGACGGCAAGGTGATAGTCATCCCGGACCTGGGCCGGATGATGAGCCATTGGCCGTCCGGCAGAAACGCGCATGCCTCTGATATGGAGCAGCATATCGTTGAGCTCCTGAACGGGTAAGCCCAGTTTTTCGAGCCAAGATTTGCTTTTCTGACATGATACAGGATTGCTTCGCCCAAAGACAAGGAAAACGTTATAGAGGCCAATCCGGCACTTCTTGCGTCTTGGTGAGCCTTGGTTGAGTCAAACTTGCTTATATGCAGAACTCGCTGACCACAATATATAGTCTCTGGCCCAATGCCTCGGCGGACCAACTCAGGACGCTAACACAGATGGTCCTTTGGCAGGGACGGCTTGATGACTACATTGAGGCGCTGGAATACGAGAACTCAGAGAGGGCAAGGGAGTTCCGCGCTAAAACGAAGGAGTACATTGCCCAATATCTACAGCTTTCTGAGATTCCTCGCGAAGCGCCTTCAACAAGTGCGATTTCGGATTTCCAGCAGGTTGCGCAGGCGATTTGCAGACAATATGACCAAGGTGAGCTTGGGTTAACGAGTTCCTGAGTTAATAGACTGACAACCGGTAGATCAGCGGCGAGCTTTGAGGGTCAGCTTGTTCGAATACATCGACTCGACTATTTCGGAGACGAGATACATCCAGAGCGGAGAAGTGCCAACCAATCGATACTATGAAGACCTTCGCAAACGGACGGCGGGCACCGGACCACTTTGTGCCCTGGCTGAGTATGTGATGCACATCTCCTGTTGTAAGATGAGATAACTGACTGGTGCAGGTTTGCCTCAGGAACGCAGCTGTCATCTTTGGTGGTTGGCTCGACCCCGTACAAGCTCATGCTGGCTGCGGTCAGCATCATTATAGGATTGTGAGTCTCTTGAACCCGGTGCGAAACAATACAACGGCTGATGGCCTCATAACAGGACAAACGATTTGCTGTCGTTGAACAAAGAGCTAGTGAGTTACCATGATGAGTTCAAAATGAAATACAGCTGACATTTCGCAGCGGAAAGGTCGAACTTTTAGTATTGTGCCCGTCCTTCTCTGGAACGGTGACCATGGTGAGCTGAAAGATGTCGTCGAGTACGTGGTAGGAGAAATCGAAAAGGCCGTGAAAAGCTTCGACGTCTGTGAGGCTCGCCTTATCCGTCAGCATCAGGGCGAGGCCGATCAAATCCGGCGAGTGACGGCAGCGCTCAAGACCACTTGCACAGGCAATCTCGCTTGGAGGTTTGTTTCCTCTCTTACCCTTCCCACATATGTTACTAACAACGGGAAGCCTTGAGTCTAAGAGATATGATGTTGGAGAGCAGTACGGTGATGGAAGCGTGAGGCAAGAGTTGACGGCTCCTTGATAATGGCAATTTGAAGACAGAGCCGTAGAGGGAACCGCAGCAAAGCTGGGATTAGACACTAGGGCCGCGACGGCCAAAGCAGAATACCCCTAATGATGAATGATACCCCAAGCCCGATGTCAGATGCAGGTGTTCAAAACAGTAAATTCGAGCCGAGGCCTATTTAAAGCGACATGTAGGCAAGGACTTTGAGAGATGAGAAAGTAGCGAAAAGAAAGGTGAGGCTTCTCAAATGCTGACATTATTAGAGGAGTTTGTGCAGATGGCGGTTTACAAAGGTCGCATTGCATTGTTGGGTGTCTCACAGGGGTTGTTCGACCATTGGCAGCGTCGCTGTGATGTCATGCTGCAATTTCCCAGCTCCAGCCAAGCGAATGTCTCAATTGGGACGCGGTTGCCCCTGCCCCTCCCAAGCTTAAGCTTTCAGCTCCAGAGGTCGACGGAGCTTCAAAAACACATATCCATCCAACTTCACCCGCCTTCCATCTCAAAATACTCAATCGCATCGACCCTAAAACAGTTGCAATTCGAACCAATTGTTTTCATACAGACACAATGGCTTTCCGCGCTGCTGCTAGAAGGGTCGCTCTCGCCCGTCCCGCCGCGCCCGCTGCTCGTGCATTCCACTCGACTCCCCGCGCTTTCGTCAAGGTTGGCGACGTCGTGCCTGATGTGCCTGTTCTCGTCGAGAACTCTCCTGGAAACAAGATCAGCTTGTCTGAAGAATTTTCCAAGGTGAAGAACGGTCTCATCATCGGTGTCCCCGCCGCCTTCTCGCCTGCTTGCTCGGCGAGCCACATCCCTTCGTACATCAACCACCCCAAGCTCAAGGAAGCTGGAGCCGTGTTTGTTGTGTCTGTTAACGACCCCTTTGTGTGAGTTCCAGCTGGGAGGAAGAGAAACGATGTGACTTTGGTGTTGACCGTTGAACAGGATGAAGGCCTGGGGCGAGCAGCTGGACCCCGCAAACGAGACTGGCGTATGTTTGAATGGCTATGACATCTAACAAGGCGAGCTTGGAATGCTAAAGTGTAAACAGATCCGTTTCTTGGGTGACCCGACTGCCGAGTTCACCAAGCTTTTGGACCTGGACTTCGACAGCACTGCCATCTTCGGCAACACCCGTGGCAAGCGTTACACTCTGGTAATTGAGGACGGCAAGGTCAAGGAGGCCCACGTCGAGCCCGACAACATTGGCACCAAGGGTAAGTCAAAGCTTCTACAATATGAAGGAGCGCAGTGACAGCTAACGATTGGGGAAGTTTCTTTGGCCGACAAGGTCCTGGGTTAAGTGGATAAGAGCTGTACCATTGGAACAAGAGGTAGGCAGAACGAGATTTGGGCCGAGATTGTAGGATGAAGAAAAGCTAGCGTATACCGGAAGATACATTAACCAATCCAAGATCTTCGAGAAATGGCCAATTTTACCAGTAAAGAATACTCTTACTACATATCTACAATCTGCATGTATCCGTTTAGTCAGCAAAATGTTGGGTCTTTATCTTCACCAATACGAGCCAATCAGTGAACGATAATCAAGTCTTCTGTAACTCGCAACATGGCCCAATAGCCTTGCATCCTTAACGCCCACCGCAGTCTCCTCTCAGAGGCGGATGACGGCCGGTGTGGCCGAAACGTCAGCCGGTTGGGAGAAGCCGAGCTGCCCGACCCGGCGAAATCGGAACCACATGGTACCGGGCCGTCCCCGCCTGACAAATGGCAGAAGGGGGGCGAAGAAAGAAACAAAGTGCCCCGCCACCGCCGCTTCGGCTTATCAAGCTTCAGGGGCTTATCGATAAGAAGATGCTTCAGCATACTACTAGTACTTAGTGTGTTCGCAGTACTGGCATGACTAAGCCAAGGGGAAAGTGTGAATGAATGAACGCATCACCTCCGACCGAGGAACTCCCGAGTCTGGAAGGCAACAGCCAGCAGTGGTGGCGCTCAGGGCAAGTCACTCAGCGTCATGCAACCCACCCACACCAGGCTGGTCCCAGGCTTGGGAGGCGTTCTGGGAAAGGCGCTTTTGAGGCCGCAAATCGCATCAGAGGGGCATTGACACGCTCATTGACAAGGAGTCACCTGTCCGCAGTCGAATGCAGCCACTGGACAGGCCACTTGCACTCTGCAAAACTTGCGGCTGCCCCGACACTGGCACGGGGCTGCGACTGGACTCGGCCTCATGGATGGGTGGGCAGTGGTAATGGCCCTCCCCGTGCCCTTTGTAAGAGAAACGAGGGCAGCGCGCACCTTACATTGACCGACTGTATCCGCAACCCTGCGCCAGGGTCAGTACCGTATCGTATGTACCGCAGAAGCCGCAGGAACTGTTTGCCGCAAACTTGGTGCCCGCATCAGAACCGGTGACCTTTGACCCTCAATCAAGCATTTTCTTGATTGTCCGCTCCCTCCTCCTTTTTCCCACCCCTGGTTTCCCGCTTCAAGGGCAGGAAAAGACAAGGTAGGCACGTTTGGTACGTAGCGTCGATAGTTCCAGACGGCCCCCAGGTCAGGGAATCGACCGTCTCCGTCAGCCAGTGAGTGTGTTCCAGCATCCGTCTGGGCTCCCCCCTCTCCTAACCCCAACCGATCAGTCATCCAGTCAGCCAGCCAGAGCCAGGCTAGCCCCAGTGGGCAGACATAGGCAGGGTAAGGTGTCTCCTCAGTGGACAAGCAGGCCCCTTCATGCCTTCCAACCAACAACTCCGTCATCCAACCCACTCCAACCAACCCAGCCTGGTACCGTCCCAGGTCCCTCTCTTTGCTCACTGCTACTGCCTTACGCCTAACACCGCCGTCCCGACTCCCTCCCGCCTCTCATCCATCCACCCAACCCACACCTGTTGCACACTCTCACTCACACTCTACTCTCTCCTCTCTCTACTTGCACTCATCCCACATTCTGATAATCCTATACCTCGTTACCTGACCGCCCCTTCGCGTTCTAAACTACTCCCCAGGCAGCCGACCGAGCCCTCTTTCTCGTTAGTAATCCGGCGAGCGTGACTCTTTTTCGCCGAGACGTACTTTTTTTTATTCTTCCCAAACCCTTGCCTCTGTCGGTCCTCTCCATTCTCGCTATCGGTCCTCGCTTCAGCCTTGGATCATCGCAGCCTGGACGTTATCGGCCCCTCCACTCTAAGAGTGACTCCCACCGAAACTTAACACCACCACACAGCCCACTCGACCACCAGAACTCTTCCTCCACCAGTTGAGGCCAAATCTTTCACCTCTGACCTCAGACTAAAAGTCTCGCCGTTTCCATCTGCGGAAACCCTCCCATCGCCTCCGTTTGTAGTCGGCACCATTCCTCCCACCACGCGGAAGCGAAAGGCCGCTGAGGCGACGATATCCTCCAATACTCAAGACACTTTGCCCAACAAGAGGATCGCCTCAGCTGCCACACAAGACGCTCCCCCAACTCCAGTCACTACTGCTAGCAACGGGATGGACTCTGAGGAGGACTTCATGTCCGCTCTTTCGAGCGAAGACGAGATCATGCAAGACGACAGTGGCGAGGACATGTCGGGTCCCGATGGTATGTGCCCTCGTCATGCTCATCTGCGCTCTTCTAACGTGTTTTATCTGTACAGACTTTGATGAGGACGACTTCGACGACGAACCCGACGCCGACCTAGGCATAATTAAGGACTCGGATAGCAAAAAGAAGGTTGCTTATGACATCTCTTTCAAGATGTACGAGCCCAAAGACATTCAAAGCCAGCAGGATGAAATGATCGATGAAGTCAATATGATCCTCAACATCCGCAAGGAAGACGTTGCGATATTGTTGCGGCACTTCAGGTGGAACAAGGAGCGATTGATTGAGGATTACATGGACACTCCGAATAAGGTACTGGAAGCTGCGGGGCTTGGATCCAAGGTCACTGGCCCGCCCAAGTTGGAAGCTATCCCAGGATTTATGTGCGACATCTGCTGCGAAGACGAGGAAGGACTCCAGACGTTCTCATTGAAGTGCGGCCACCGTTACTGCGTAGACTGCTACCGACACTACCTGACCCAGAAGATCAGGGAAGAGGGCGAGGCCGCCCGCATTCAGTGCCCCGCTGAGGGCTGCGGCCGCATTATCGACTCGAAATCTCTCGATCTCCTCGTCACCCCCGAGCTCGCGTCACGATATCACGAACTACTAAACCGAACATACGTGGAGGACAAGGATTCACTTAAATGGTGCCCCGCACCAGACTGCCCGAACGCCATCGAGTGCGCCATCAAGAAGAAGGACCTTGATAGGATTGTCCCCACAGTTGCATGCGGATGTGGTCACCGCTTCTGCTTCGGCTGCATACTCAACGACCACCAGCCTGCTCCCTGCGAGCTTGTCAAGAGATGGCTCAAGAAATGCGCCGACGACTCAGAAACTGCTAACTGGATTTCTGCCAACACGAAGGAGTGTCCCAAGTGCAACTCCACCATCGAGAAGAATGGTGGCTGCAACCACATGACTTGCCGTAAGTGCAAGCATGAGTTCTGTTGGATGTGCATGGGCTTGTGGTCAGAGCATGGCACCAGCTGGTACAACTGCAACCGTTTCGAAGAGAAGAGCGGTACCGAAGCTCGCGATGCACAGGCCAAGTCCCGCATATCACTAGAGCGTTATTTGCATTACTACAACCGCTACGCCAACCACGAGCAGTCTGCCAAGCTGGATAAAGACATCTACCATAAGACGGAGAAGAAGATGGTGCAGCTGCAGACTGCCTCCGGAATGTCATGGATCGAGGTGCAATATCTCAACCAGGCCTCGCAGACCCTCCAAACTTGTAGACAGACGCTTAAGTGGACGTATGCCTTCGCATTCTACCTGGCCCGTAACAACCTTACAGAAATTTTCGAGGACAACCAGAAAGACCTGGAAATGGCGGTTGAAGCACTATCGGAGATGTTTGAGAAACCCGTCACAGACCTTTGCGACAAGAAGCTGAAGGTAGACATCATGGACAAGACATCATACTGCAAGAAGCGACGCATCATTCTTCTGGAGGACACTGCCGACAACCTTGCCAATGGTAAGTCTTTTGCTTAAAAATTGAAAGACATGACAATTGCTGACAGGCCCAGGTCGCTGGACCTTTAATGTGGATCTCCACAACCCCGCGGCTTCCGCTGCTACAAGCAGCCGCCGCTGAAGCAAATACGAAGAATCACCACGACATACCGAATCAGACGCGGAATGATAAAAGATAATCTTTCCAGCGCTCCTGCCATTGCCTCCCGCATTCATGCTTTTCGTGTGTTTGGGGTTCCAGTAAATACTCACAAGGCATCATATCGGTCACGGCTGTGGTACAGATAGTTAGAGAGACGCTGCACACACTTCATCTATGGCAGCAGCATGGGAGGACATTAAGATCATTGATGACATTTTTTTGTTAAAGAACGGACGGTTATCTGGGCTAGCGCGGGATGAAGCGCATCATGGGGCATCATCATTGTGTATGGTATAGGACTTCCGGTTACACGCCGCCGCCGCATGTCCCAGGCAAGGCGACGATTTATTATGCATCATGCCTTTTGGCGAAGTCATGTCTTGAGTTCCCCTCCCATGCAGCTCTCCGGTGATGGATAAGGGGGTGATGGCTATCTCCCTTCGTTCTCTTGATTGTGTGATACCAAACTTTGAGTATGTGTTCGTGCAACTCTGACGTTGACCTCTTTTTTCTCTCTCTTTTTTTTTAAACCTTTTTATAATTCTCTCTCAAAGTTTGTCTTATTTTCATTTTCATTTTTTATTTCCCCGGCAGGGGAAGCCAATTGTCTAGACTCGCTACACACACGTTTTGAGAGATGGTTTGTTGCTTTGGGACGGTGACTGTGACTTTGACCCCCGATGACGATGGGGACATTCCGACAACTTTGTTGCCTGCCTGCCTACCTGCCTACCTACCTGCCTGTCTGCCTGCCTGGCTGCGGCAACCTACTCCTTCACCCCGCTCCCCCCCCCCCCCCCCCCCCCCCCCCCCCCCCCCTCCCTGACGCAGGGGCTTGAAGAGAGAGCCAGTCTTGGCAGACGGAACCCCCCGCCCGTCCAGACCATTTTTAGCCTTCAGCCTCAGCTTCAGCCGAGACAGCCTGGGCTCAGTGCCGACGACATCGTCACTCGGTAAACTTTTCTCAAAATCATGAGTGATGCACCATTGCTGTCAAGTAATGCAATACCGGGTTTTCCGGCCATGACATAATTTCCTATCCATTTCGTGAAGAAAAAAACTCCTACGCCTTGACTGAATGCATACAAAAATACCTATCCGTCGCTTTCCCCCTCTCAAAACCTTTCACGCCCTTTTTACCCTGACGTGAAGGAAATGCTGCTTTCATTCACTCCAAACAGCACAAAAGTCCATTTACTCTCCTGAATGTTTCATTAACGTCTAAAAAAAAAAAGTTCCTCTCTACTCCATGCGCGAGAAGATACCTCAATAATGTGTCCTGAAAACACGGTGCCAGCCACGACACAAAGGCTGCTCGATTGGCGCCCTCACAGGGAAATGAATATAACAGAATAATGCCGCAACGTTTGGGGGTATCGTATCAACAATTGTGGTGATTTGTAAAAATTCAGCTGTACACAAAACGAGAGAGATTCAGGGCCTTGGCCCGCGGTTGCTTTTCCGTCTCATCCAGGCCTTGCGGTAGGCCGTCATCGTTCTCATCGTCGCTGTTTGGTATGATTTGGTCCTCGCTTCCACATGGCGCATTCAGTGCCTCCACCTCTGCCAGGTCCACCTTGGGCAGAGGTACGAACGAGGGGTTAACGGGGATTGACTTGAGCAGTCGGCTCTTCTGCGGGCTGCGCCTGGGGCTCCGCTGGATCGCACTCTTCGTTGGAGACAGTGTCCGGCGCGGGGGAGGGTTCTTTCGCTGGAGCGCACGGGCGCCGAGGCGTTGGAGCGGGGTGAGCAATGGGGTTGTCTTAGACACTGGCGCTTCGGTGGTTGAGCCGGCGGAGAAAGTAATGGACGATGCTGCCGTGGACGGAGCGGCGGTCGAAGGCGTGAAAATGGACGACTGTCTCGAGGCAGCCGATCCCGGTGTTTCGGGTTGGCTTGAAGTGGCAGGACTCGGCTGAGATTTGTATGAAAATTTCTGCAGAATCGACTGCTGTGAACTTGCCTCGGTAGATAAGGCGGTAGACTTCAATCCGGATGTTTCCTCTTCTTCGGAGAGGTCACTAAGGGGCGTGGTCGCTATCTCTTCATCTTTGCTGAACTGGCTGTCCGTGCTGGTAGTTGCTTCAGTGCTCTGGCTTTCCTCAAAAACCGAGATTGACTTCGGTTTCGGGTTATGCCATTCGTCAATGTCTGGAAGGCTTAACAATGCCTCGTCGATTGAGTCGTCGGAGAACAAGTAGCCGTCTTTCTTGTTCGTCTTCGTGCTTCCAGCCTTGGGGAAGAACTTGCTTTTTTGGGATTCCTCAGATTTGGTTTCGGGCTCGTCCGTGTCTGCGCAAAGTCGGACTTTCTTTGGCGGTCGTTGAGAGCTGCTCCTCATCAACGCATCAATGTCGTCTAAAGTGTTTGTCGCCTCGCCGAGTGTAACACGACGGGTACTGTCAGAGCTTGATGGCGCATACGGTTCTAGCGTAGCCTGGACTGGTTCCGTCCGCCGCCGATGAAGACGTGGAGAGGTTGTTGGACGTCCAGTTCGAACAGAGCGAGAGCTATTACTCGGTTGTGATGATGTACCTTCGATGTATGGTCTGGGCAGAGGAAACACGCGGGGTACGAGACCATTGTGAGTAAGGGCAGCAACCCGCTGCGGGTCAACCGAGAAGCAATTGCGATCCATCTCGCCCATGGGAATGCGTTGATGGCCCTTGAAGTAGGAGTCGATGGGCTTGACAGGTTGACGTGTGCGGGTAGAGGAGGCATTCGCCGCAAGGACCTCGGCAGATTGCGAATGCCTCCGTTTGGCATCCGATTTGGAGCCGGGCATGGGCGCGGGGATAATCGTCTTCTTCGTCATTGGGTTGATGTCTCCGACAGCAACAGCTGTGGCTACTTCGGGCTCAACGTAGGCGCCGATAAACGGCATGTCCTCTACGCCTTTACCCTCCTCGGGTTCCGTTAGACAAACCATCTGCTTCTTCGTTGGGCAATACACTCGTTGGTGAATGAAGGTTAACTCGGCCTGAAAGAATCGTGGCAGGTAGTTCTCCGAAACGCGGTGCTTTCCCTCAAACTGAATCATCCGGATTAATCGTTCAGGCGTCTTGTGCTTGCGTAGCATCCGGTACGCTGTTTTCAAACCCATGTTGTTGATACCCTCCAGATAGTCACATCCACTGAGAATAGCCATACGGCGAAAGTCGGTATCCGTCCAGCCCGTCAACGATACCTCTCGACACGCGCAAAAGTCCCTCCGGTTGATTTCGATACAATTGCCATACTGGTCGAGTTTTGTGAGGAGCCGCTTGCAACCAAAAACCAACAAATCCGAGTCCTCCGATAGGATGCCGTCGATTAGACCTTGGCGTTCAAGGTAGACGAGCTGGGCATCGGCTTCGTACGGTGCAACGACGTACGAGACACCAATCTTTTTCAATTCATCGATGAGATTGCGGGCCATCTCCGGTGTGACATCGATGGCTTTCTGAAACTCAAGCTGGGCCTGAGACGATTTTCCGGCCTTGACGAGCTCCATGGCCAGCTTCTTGCTGTCTTCGCGGCGTTTGGCTCGGGAATCTTCGGTGGCGGCCTTGCTGGGGAGGAAGTCGCCGTCAAAAACCAGGTAGGGCTTGACGCCGAAATGCCGAAGCATCCTCACCCGGTGCATGGCGAAGTCAACATACCTAGAGCAGCGTTAGTTACAGGGACATGCGGCAGTTCGAGCATGCCAAGGGCCTTCAGCTAGTGCTACTCACTTGCGAGTGGGGTTGCCTTGAGCCAGGTCTACAGCACAGGCAATAGCTCCACGGTGAAGCCATCCGTAGGCATCGACGCCAAGCGTCTCGCCCGAGAATTTCTTCAGCTCAGTCGGCCTGTGGATGGACTTGAGCAGCGGGAGAAGGCCTGGTAGATGTGAGTAACCCAATGCACGAGACCCCGCAACAAGGGAGAGAGTAAGTACCTGAGACGCCCATGGTTAATCGCAGGGAACGGCTAGGTCTTCGAAGTGAACAGCTTCAAAGGACCTGACGCCTTGCGGTCGCTTCTCAATCCAGTTCACAGGCCACAACCCGGACATACAATGGGAAAATCAATGCTTTAGGCCATTCGTCGAGAACGAAGACGCGTGGAGAGTTGGTGGCTTCGCGTAGTTGGGAGGGTCGATACGCCAGGTCAGGTGATTGGGGGGGCAAATGTAAACAAAGCAAGCACTTAACCACAGAAATAGCGGTGGCAAGCGAGCGACTCTTATTCGCGACAAACGACAAGCGGGCGACAGCAAGAAGGTTAGGTTGGAGTTGACCAAGATTCACGGTCGAAGCTGAGGTCGGAGGAGTAAAGGTGTGAAAGTGGAGTGAACCACGGCTTCCTGCACGGGAAAGGGACGCCCGGGGGGGACCTGGTCCTGCTATATTGGAACGCGGGAGGGCTCACCGCGTCAGGCCATATCGCGACCTTTTTTTTTTTACTGTGGCCTGGGCTCAAAATCCAGCCCCAAAGAGGATTAGCGCGTAGAGCTTGGGATTCGCTGAGCAACGTCACTCTGTCCCAATTTGGCTGAAGATCATTGGACCCTTTTCACCTAATTGTGGGGTAACATTTTTTTCCTGAGAGTGCGTGCAGCTCAATGCAGAGGCGGATGGGATTTTCATCTGGTGGGGCACAGACCGACAGACAGAGAGAGGCATCCCAATTTCGTTTTCAACCCAGTGTCTCACTCAAGGGAATTTTCTCTACTCCTATCACATCCTTTTTCGTGTCAAATATCGTCTTCAAAATGCCCACAACGTTACAAAAGGCGCGCAAGCATATTGCGAAGAAGCGAAATGGCCATGTCGAAGCTCTGCATGAGTTCTCCCGAGACTCAAAGCGCCTGCACAAGGCGTCGGTGAGAGACCAAAAGCTGGAGAAGCTTGCTGCTGCCAGAGGCAAGAAGGAGCAGCCTATGAGTACGATAACCCCTTGTCAATTTTATCATGCTTTGAGGTCGGACACTTATTATCTACAGTTGACCGTGCCTCTTATTTTCAGAAGGCTGTTCAAGAGAAGGGTTCCGTTCCTCTCGAGCTGGCCACTATTCAGGAGCTTATCCACAAGTACGCCCGTGTTTCCCCCAGCTCGTCGATTTGGAAGACTAACTATGAGTAGGTTCGTGCACCAGTATGATGAGGAGTACGCTGAGGTCAAAAAGACCCGCCGCCCTGGTCGTCCTGCGAGCGCCAAGGAGGACTTGCTGAAGATGAAGATTGCTACCCTCGAAGAGGAGTACAAGATTGGTTTCTGTTAGTAACTCGCTTGGCTATTACTCCAGACTCTCATTGGTCTACATACTAACACGACTTCAGTCTTGCCGGATCTCACAAATGAATCCAACGTCAACCTTCTTGACCGCTGGGAGGGTTCTTGGTCCTTCCTCCCCTCTGTCGCTTGGGTGAGGATAACGAGTGATGGCAACATCAAGAAGTCCAGCTTCCCTCCCAAGGGTAGCTCATAAAAAAGTGATGATTAGAGCGGCGTTTTGGCGTTTTGAGATTGGGAACCATTCATCAGGATTGGGCCATCGGGTAAAAACGAGAAGCAACTCATGAGAAACAAAAAGGACTTTCGGCTTAACTACGAAATGTGCGTTTGCGGGGGTCTCCGCGGGTCACTGTCTTAGACAAGCATCCGCCGTAACAACAATGTTAGACTATTTCTCCGGTTACATACAGCAGGACGTGTGAGGTGTGGAGACCACGGCCTGGATCACAGCAGATTCCACCTGGTCGACCACTGGATTACCGATCTCACCTGCTTGTTGTCTCTCGCCGTTACACATGTGTGTATGGTATTCTAGAGGTAAACGTGGTAGACATGTGGTGTTATGGAGATGCGCTGAATCAATTGCATCCTTCAGCCTGCAAAATCTACCAGCAGGGTTTGTACAGTGTCATATAGAGTCAACGTGGTGGTCTTGTTTGAAACCGTTACGACAGATGCTGCAGACGAAGGACCACCGTAACCTATTCATCTTGCAGTCCAGTATCAACGCATCCCGAGTTTCCGCTGGAGAATCATTGGTCCATCTAGTTGCACACTAAACAACGATTATGTGGCGGTCCGATATCCTTGTCCATTCGCATATTCCAAGGCTTCTTCTCTGATGCCTGGTGTCTCTGTTCGCCAGCTTCGCAAGTGGCTATGCGACTCAGAACGCGGCCGGAATCTGCCCGGCACCTCTTGAACCATACCCTTGGAACCGTGTTCGCCAAACGAGACTGTTCCATCGCATGGCTGGCGCCTCATGCTTATCCTAAATCTTGTCTGTTCACGTGGTACATCACACAGCCAACACTTCCTCTGTTTCTCAGAGTTTAGAGACGGCTACACGCTTTCAACTCTGCCCCTGAAAACATCTCTACTCGACTCAGATCGATCCTTTAGTGGCATGACACCGTAACAGATCGCAAGCTGCCGAAAGATCGGGAGATTGGTACTTGGTTCCGAACTCATTCGCATTCACGATAACACGAGGTGTTTGCTGACCAACTCACGCAGACTTCCTAAAGCATGCTGTGCTTCAATTGAACCAGGAGTATATCTTCTGAGGAGATCTCCGATCACAATATTGCCGTCTTGAAACTTGTCATTTTCGATACATTTATTTCCAATCTTGCCCTTACCTTGAACTCCAACGTAACATCTATTGAGCACATTGCTTAAACCAAGGTAAGTCCTGGCAAGCTACTTGTTTGTCTGCAACAGCCAGCTTACGAGAACAGTAAAATGTGCAAATACGTCACACATCTGCGCATCTGCAATATTTGCAGCTGCGAAGACACGATTTTAATCTCAGAGAGGCAGTGCATGCTTGCCAAGAAGAATGGCATGTTTGGGAGTTGCGACTTGGGAATTAGCAGCGACAGTAACAGCACGATATATCATTGTTGGAAGTGCAAGGAAAGGACCCGTCGAATCCGTCGCGCACCATCGATGCTGCAGCGTGTGAGTCTAAGTTGAGAGTACCGACCGAGTGAAAAGAAAGGATAACGAAGAATTTCTTTTGGTTATCCCTGTTCCAGAAGGCTATCAGCGCATCGTACATCTTCCGTGTGTGATGCCGATGTCTGGACTCAGCGGTGCTGGCATCGCTAACAGGATTCGCCATGATGGAAGACAAGTTCAGTTAGACCAGCATGGGATTGAAGAACGTAGTCTTTGCGGTGGCCCCTGTTGCTACCACTTTCAGCTTAGTCCAAAACAATTGGAGTTATTTAATGGGATCCTGAGTGGAGTGCTTCGAGAATGAGTGGAGGTGAGGTTGTTCAGACGCTGCCAGGTGGTTTATGCAGGGTCATCGGATAAACCTTTGGCCGGATGCTCTCTGAGCTGATGTCAAAAATTTTGGGAGCTCTCCAAAGCTTCTGGCACGATCCAATTACCCACCTCTCTAATCTTTTTTATTGTCAACAACACCTGTTCGGTAAAACCTTTAATACCAGCCACAATGCTTTCCATCAGATCCATCGCGCGCTCTGCGCCCAGAACTCTTACCCGCATCTCTGCGGCCTCCCTCAGACAAGCTGCTCGCCCGAGCGCATTTGTTAAGGCTTCCTCATGGAGCGGCGTTCAGCGCGCATCTGCCTTCTCCAGCTCTGCCTTCAGGAAAGCCGCTTCTGGTGAGACCGATGCCGAGCTCGTCGCCAAGCTTGAAAGCGAGCTTCAGTTTGAGGACGAGGTCAAGCAGAACGAGCAGCTCCCCGCCAGCGTCAAGGACTTCATCGACAACAGCCCCTTTGAGCTCCACGACACCCCTGGCAAGGAGGAGGTCAAGCTTACTCGCAAGTTTGGCGAGGAGAAGTGAGTTTTTCCTATGCGATTGAACTCCACGACACGACGCTAACCAAGTCTAGGATCACCATTACTTTCTCCATCGCTGACCTCGCCAACTACGACCCCGAGATGTACGACCAGGACCGCGCCCTGGAGGACGAGTACGACCCTTCTGAAGTCCAGAACTCCAACAAGCAGGCCGGCGTCCAGTCTACCGGTGGCGCCCGCTCTGCCCCCGCCGAGGAGGAGATCGAGGAGGAGAGCGAGATGGACGAGGCTGCTCCCCCTTGCCGCCTGAGCATCGTTGTTGAGAAGCCCGGCAAGACCCCTGGAGCCCTCAACATTGATGCCACCGCCCAGGACGGCGCTATTGTTGTCGACAACATGTTCTACTACGAGGACGGCAAGCTTGCCCACGCCGCCTCCGCCGAGGTCGCCCACGCCCGTGGCGATGTCTACCCCGGCCCCCCCTTCGGCAGCCTCGACGAGGACCTGCAGATCCTGATGGAGCGCTACCTTGAGGAGCGTGGCATCACACAGGCCCTGGCTGTCTTCGCCCCCGACTACATCGACGTCAAGGAGCAGCGCGAGTACGTCCGTTGGTTGAACAACGTCAAGGGCTTTGTCAACGCCTAAACGAATAAAAAATGAAATGAAAAAATAACCAGGGGGGGAAGGGACATGACGACGCATGACGGCGAGGCGCGAGTGTAAGATGAAACGAAACCTTTGAAAAAAGAAGCTTCTTGGCTTGTCTTATAGCTGTTCCCACTCTACGATGTATCATACCATGGCCTGGCTGGCATGCCAGATGCCCACTATAGGAAACTGTAATAACAAACAAATTCTCCTTCATTTGGCTTGGAAATCGTCTTTTGATGTGCAGTATTGAAAACTAAGCTAGGAGCAAAGTAAAGGTATTTTGGAGGGTCTGCGGGAGACGTAGTGCCTCTATCCCAACTCATGGATAACCGCCTTCTATTAAATCGAGTCCAGTGAAAAGGGTTATTTTACAAGCAAGCGTCTCAGTGTAGCGCCGCTGTTATTGTTATAAGAAAATGACAATACAACTGTCCTGTATCATGAAATAAAGTGTTTCTGGACGCATTGTGGTCTAAACGGTATGTACCGGTAACGCTAGCAGGGACGGGAATGACAGGGCTTCCAACTTTCCAATGGTGTTTCCCAGACAGCAAATTATAACATGATTTCCGTTACCATCCAGGGGGGCCATATCTGTTTCATGCACAGTAGGGAGGCCAGAGTATCGAAAGACGGGATCGGTAACATGCCAACTCCCCTCAGATTCAGTCACGAAGACTGACAAAAAAACATACAACACCAGGTATTCGCTGGTCGTCACCGACCCAACTACTAATCCGGCCCTCACTGGCTTATCTATGGGAGAGCGGACGGGATCCCGAGTTTTCCAGTGGGTATGGTCGTATGTGCTGGCTTTAGAAAGCAAAGATGATTATACTGCCTTGAGGCCGTCTGTCTCCTTCCAGTACATTCCCGAGATTGACGTGATATCTTCACAGATTGAGCTCTTCTTTCGAGAGGAAATGATATGTGTTGTCATGACAGTTTAGAGAACGGTTTTGATATCTTGATCCGATAGCATCGAGGCGCCTTTTCAAAGCCCTGTCTCCCTAATGGCTTTCGGTAGTATCCATCGCGTGGCTGAAACATTCAAGGGTATCTATCCAGCTTTATGCTTGATCAAGGTCTTGGCTTCCTCTTCGACGAGGTTTAGGTGAAAAAGCCCCCTATGTAGTAAGGCTGGCCGGCCAACGTAGCCGATCCAGGCTCCCGGGGATATCAAACAATTGCCGGCCTTTCGGTCCTCCATGTCTAAGTAATGAGATTTTCCTCCTTTCAGACCAGGAGAGTAAGAAAGTCAGTGGTTTCGCCGAGCTCACCAAGGCCTGGTTTAGAAGTTGGTTCATTTATATGGGAATCATTCCCAGTAGCCTTGTTTGAGAAGGTTGAAGTCGAAGAACTGTAGCGTACCCATCAGATTTCGGGTATTTGTTTTGGAACTCTCTCGAAAGAATTTCATTTTAGCGTTGTGAAAGGAATTTTTAATAATGCCTTTATGGGGTTTGAGGAGTGAATGCGCTGCTTCAGTCGTCGTTTATGTGTGTTGACCTCGCCAGGCTTTTCTATGAGCCCAAGAGGCACTTTGATCGGTGTGACTAAACACTGCCGCTTACGTTTGTTGTAAACCGGTATTCAAAGCCGTCGCCTTACAAGCTATTGTCGAGACCGTGGCCAGTATGTGTGCCTGTCTACCACTCCTGCTCCGCGCAAATATAAAAGGCAATCAGACCTGAAACAGCAGTCAGGCCATCGTCGTTGGCGTTCACCGAAACTGGGTTTCGAGACCAAGCGCAGACTGCAGGTCCTTCTATAAGACGCATTTACTAGGGATGAGCCTTGAGCAAGAGATCCAATGAAGCGCCCTCAACTTGATGCTCGCTACCTGGGAAGAATGTGTCGGCGTTCCATAAACAACGATAAATGTGACTATTCAAATGAGACACAACGACAAGTCGGAGATGGTGCGGCCGGTATGGGCGTTCTAATATTCTAGCTGGGATATACTTGTGTCACGCATAGGTAAGCCGGCGTCCCTATTCAACGCTCAAGATTTGAAGCAGCACATGGCACCTTTCCGATGTCTTTGCCTTCTGCAGACGATGTAGACAGTCATGTATCGAGAACGAAATCCAACTACGTAGTCTAAATGATGTCGTCTGAGCTTAACAGAACATAAAATGAGGACAGGTATCATGGAACTGTTAGGGCAACACCTTTGTCGGTATGACTTGTGATGTGACGCAGACTAGGCATTTGTAACACATGACCATGTTGAAGTCGAAATCACGGCGCGCTGTGGTAACATTACTGTTACACATCATCTAATTTACATGCGTTGTCGGTTCTTGCACGAAGGTGCTGTGACCTTTTTATCGAGCCAGCTGTGGAATAACAGAGAAGTCTGTACCGGGTTAACGACCTATACATATATCCAGTTTCAACATGGTTGGTACAGAGATATTGAGATTTTGTCAAATAGGATTATCGACCACCTTTCTAAAAAGTACTAGAATGGTATATTTAAAGCACTTTTTTGCCGGTTCGACATTGCTGTGTAGCAGGTTGCATGGACCGACCGTCGCACCGAAACCGATACACAAACGGTCCCCGAAGAAGTCTCCAATCTATCCTATCCTCTTATGCTGACCTGGCTGTGGTCCAAAGGGTATCTTGGATGGACAAGATATCAGCTGGTGCCGGCATCCACGCCTGTACCCCGAACCTAGACATCGGCTCCTTTAGGGCAGCTGCCAAGCTGCTCGTATACTGTACGAGCCGACTGGCGAGGCTGTGCTTGCCGTATCCTAGGATCGAAGGTGGGGTTCTAAATGAACATCGGCGATGTAGGGTGTCTGCTTGTTTACACTCGATGGCTCGGACTGAGAGGGAGAGCTCCCCACTGCCATTGCGAAACTTGCTGCTATAAGACCGTACTTGGCTGAGACCTGAATGAGAGGCATATCTAGCCACTGCTCTAGACGAACACAAGAGTCAAGCATTGAGTCTCGCAGATAGAAAGAGGATAACTGTAGCTGGCGAGGGCAACAGTTATGAGCAGGGCCCACGTACTATGTAATCGAATGGTGCTTCAAGGCTTAACTAACAACGCTCCTCATACAGAAGCGGTACGCACATGGATGGCACGACATGAGCGGATACCCATGGCCGGACCGTCGAAATCTCTCAGAAATTGTCAATTCCGGGATGCATATTTGCCGGGGTGGCGATATGGCATGTATCTCTGCCAACCTCCAGACAGAGCGGAAAAGCCATCCATCCTACTTTGTCCCCCTCCACGAGGACAGGGACAGGGGGTCTATGCAAGAAGCAGAGAGGAAACAAAATCAAACGGAACATGCCCACAAGGAAGTACTTTATGTCTCCATGTCTCCAGGAAAAAAGACACAAACGGGAAGCCCGGACACCGAGAACCTTCCTATCGTGCAGTAATCATAATTGCGATTAAATTGCATGTTGTGCCGGTTGCCGCGTATTTAGAATGCTGCCCCCCCCCCCCCCCCCCCCCCCCCCCAAAAAGGAACGAGCGCTTTGGGGGGTTGGAAGCGGGTGTTTCGTTTGGGGGCCAACGCGGAGCAGACCCGACGCCACCAAAGGTCAGAGGACGTCAAGTCAATGGCAGCAGCAGCAGTGTAAGGCCAGACTCGGAGGATTCAGCAGCCAAAAAAAGGCCCGAATTTTCCTGCAGATTTTCAAACCACCAACGCTGACGGCGAGGCAAGGGGCAAGCTTCACTCTGGCACTCCGCCTCGTTAAATCATTTACAGGAGGTAATCTAGTTCATTTTTAAAGGAGGAAGCGCTTTTCTTCTTGTCAATCCCGGTTTTACAGCCCCGGTAAGGCCAGTGGAAGGATGGAGCCTGTGCAGATCTCGTTGTTGATTATTGCTCATCGCAGCTGATGCGAGCTGGCCTCTTGAAATGTACTACTTCGCGCTTCCGGTGAAATTTAATGATTGCAATTGAAAAATTCACAGATCGCTTCTCGTCTTGAGTTGTAATTATCACGTTCCGCTGTCGTCAAGATTGCGATAAGCACGACGCGAATACGGGTGGAGATACCTTGACTCAAGTGGTTGCATCGTGGAATCTGCACGATGGAAAGCCGGCTGCTACCTTCTCTGTGGGATTCGGGATTCGACCGGTGTAACCCCATGGGATGAAGTCGGTTTCGCCATGCCACCAGCTAGGTGATATTGTTGCCTTTCCTTCCCGCTCTGCCCGTGCGCATAGGTTGCAATTGGGTTTATGGGAGAAACCATGGCAGATTAAAACAGTTATCCAAGGTCGACGGGCTTTGATGGCTCATTTGGATCATATCATGACAGTATAGGTATATATTTGATTGCACCACCGGCCTCGGTGAGGTCTGCCACCCAGAGCAAACGGCAGCGGTGTGAAATGTGCAATTTCAAGGTCCCACCTTTTGATGGAAAAACCAGAAATGATGCCATTAAATTATCCTTTGAACTGCCATGGTGTGGCTAGTCGGAGGTGCAAAGCTTACTCATCGGAGGTTCATTTCGCGTAGCGCTTAGTCTGGGCCCAACGGCAGAGGACAATTAGAGTGTTGTTAGGGTGAAGAAGGTCTGGAAGGTTTCTGAGAGTTCAGACGAACCACAGAACCGGCCTAAGCGTCTTTGGGTATGACACACGAGCCCAACACCACGGATTCAACGGGTGCGGGAATGCGGGGCCGCACGGCCCGTGCTACGGTTGGCTAAGAGGTCTCTGGCTCTGTTCCTTGAGGAAGGATGGTTGGTGGCCTGGCTGTATATATCTCAAAGCACGAGGCGTTGATCCTTCTTTTTTTTTCTTTTTCTTTTGGCGTGGGCTGAGAGAGACAAGTGTTGGGTTTGAAACGATGTTCCTAGAGGAAGGTGATTCACTCCCACACAAGCCCAGAATTAAAGGTTTGACGGGGGGGGGGGGGACATCATGATTCAGGGGTAAACAAGAAGGAAAGACATAATCATCGAGCAAGCTTTGATTGGCGGCAACCCCGCACGTCACTCAAACTTGGCCCGGCAGGTGGATTAGTGTATTATTCGGTTGGACAGGATCATCGAGGCATAACAAATAACCTTGCAGGTGTTTGCTCTGTAACACGACTAATTAGCGAGAGGGAAGGTGTAAGAGATGAAATGAATTGCGGAGCTCCGTGCTAGGCGAGCAAAGCCAGTTGAGGTTGCAATTGTTCATCCAACCCCGGGCGGAACATATTCCATCCCCGGGGAATGGGCGGATGGGTGGGCGGATCACTGACGCGGATTGTTCTGGACCAAGGCAAACTGACAGAGCAAAGAGAGGGGGGGCCTGGACCGCCTTGCACGGGCCCCACGTAGCATCCCTTCTATTTGCCGGCAGAGAGTACGGAGTACCTGCGTCCTGTGCCTGGGTAAACACACCCTTAAACCACGCATCAGAACACCCACCCACTTGACTGGGCCCCCTCCCCCCGAGTGACATAATCCGTAGGGCTACTTCCTTGTCCGAAAGTACAAGATAGTGAGACATGGGACTTGGCCTAGTGCCCGTTAAATTGAACCTTTCATCTGGGTCTGTCCGAACCCATCAGGCAGACGGCCGAGGCAAGCCAAAAAAACCAAGATTTGACCTCCTGGGCCATGCCTTAGTTCCCCTCGGTAATTTTCATCCTGCTCGTTCGCTTGCAAGACATGAACTTACTTGGGTTTGTTATTGTTTGTTGGCCCATGTGGAGGCCGCTAGATATCTTCCCCCCCCCCTCCATCTCACCTTAGCGCTCCAAGGGGGGGTGTGTATATGTGTGTACGTGTGGAAAAGGATTCGTAAGGCTTTTTTTTTCTCCAGAATTAAAAAACCAGACCCATATGACGAGACACCACATCGGGTGGTTTTAATCATTTCGAGGTGGAGGGCTTGCATACGGGAGATCACCGTACGTCTCACATTTAATGGCGCAGCGGCAAAACATCCCGACTTGATGGAAAACCGGGGGGGTCTGTTTAAGTGTGGGAAGAGGGAAACTAAACATTTATCTCGAGTATATATCATGACCTACAACCGCCCTCACCTCCATTAGGAATTTCCCTTTCTTTCTTCACCACAAGGTACACCTTTGCGTCTGTCACTCCTTTTTCCCAACACCCTACGGGTTATTTATCGACGCTTGGCAGGATCCATCCTCCGTTCATTCCTTAGCAACAAAGTTGAATCCCGGTGATTTCACATAAACCCACCCTTTTACCAGTCAAAATGCGTTTCACCGCTGTTGTCGTCGCCGCGACTGCTCTGGCCGCCAACGTCTCCGCCTCTGCCTGCCGTCCCAACGGACGCCCTTCCGGCAAATGGGGCAACTGGGGTGGACACGGCAACTGGGGAAGAGTCACTTCCACCGTGACCTCCACCATCACTCCCAGCGCCCCTGCGCCTACCGTCCCGGCCGTTGTGCCTACCCCCGAGCCCGTCGTCGAGGAGCCTGTTGAGACTACCCCGTCCGTCACGCCTACCCCCGCTGCCGAGCCCGTTGTTGAGCAGCCCGTCGTTGAGGAGACCACCTCCTCCGCCGCTCCCACCGCCACTGCCGCCGCCTCTTCCGGCAGCTCTGGTCTTTCCTCTGACCAGCAGAAGGCCCTCGACGCCCACAACGCTGCCCGTGCCGAGGTCGGTGTTCCCGACCTTGTCTGGGACGCCACCCTCGCCTCCAACGCCCAGGAGTGGGCCACCCACCTTCTGTCCGTCGGCGACCTCACCCACTCCCAGACCAACAGCGAGGGTGAGAACCTGTACATGCAGTACAGCACCGATGCCCCCAACGTCAACGCCGCCAACGCCTGGCTCGGCGAGAAGTCCCTGTACAAGGGAGAGACCATCAGCGCCGACAACTACATGGGCTTCGGCCACTACACCCAGGCCGTCTGGAAGTCCACCACCAAGGTCGGCATGGCCTTCGCCACCGACTCCAAGGGTGCCACCTACGTCGTTGCCCGCTACTCTCCCCCCGGCAACTAGTAAGTTTAACCCAATCTAGACAAAAAGACTCTTTCAAGAACTGCGTCACTAACACACACCTCACAGCCTCGGCGAGAAGCCCTACTAAGTCAGTTCGACAAAACGACATTCGCCACTGGAAGGACTTTGTATATGACGGGATCATACCAAGGCATGGCAAACCTATTCCTGGTAGCTGGCTGGACCGACAACATTCAAACCTTTTATCTCTCTCTCTCTCTCTGATTCACTGAGGGGAGGGGGGACATTCTTGTATATGATTTGAAGGGTTGAAAATACCGACACCGCTTGAGGGGCAAACAAAATCAAGGCCGGATCATGAGGGATTGTGTGTCTGGGACTGCTTTCGTGACCTCAGGTGGAACGCCACATGACCTGATGAGACATAGTAAAACAAGCCTTATGATGCTTCATGAATTATTTGTGTCTCAGAATGCTTAGATGTGATATGTGACTTCCATGCGCCTAAAATACTCAAATGTCGAGTGGAGTAAACATGTTATGAGAATTGTCTCTTTGACTCAGATCGGACTTTTCAACCCCTTGTGCCTGCCTACAAGAGAACTGCAACGGCCCAGGATTGTAATCTACAAGTTTGCTTTTGAACTACCAGCATAGCCTGTGACAGCAGCGGGCCGTGGACGAGACAACCGCTGGGTAGACATGGGTTCATAGAATAGGTATTCACACAAAAGTCAGTTTGGGTGTACAAGATAAGTCGTACGAGCGTTAGAAAAAGGAATCTTTTCATTTGTGGTGAAGATGTATGTCTTTGCGTGAAACAAATTGTAGAAGGCTAGGTTGAGTTGGGTGGGAGATGTATCCCATCCGGTTGCGCATCACATGGGCAGTTGAGATTGTCAACCTACGTGAGGCTTGGGTTGGGTGCCCAGCAGCCGGTAGCTGGGCGGCCACGGAACCCCTTTAACCAGAAATTCCAACTCTTGCAGCAGCCCAACCCCTTTCAACTAAAGGCTTCATTTCGTCTGGCTCTATGACTGATCACCCCGAAACTTGAACCTTTCAAGCCCCGTGAAGTTTGTTTCACTTTTGAGGATTCTTGAACCAGGCAAAGGCTATGCGTCTGGGTGAAGTCTCGAGGAGCCGACAAATTCAAAATTGAAGACCAAAACCGGGCAATGACACGAGTTGCCATGCCGAGTCAACTCACTCAGCCTACCCGAGAAAGCCAAAGCGACATCTTCTAACCTCATAAAGAATCGAGAGAGTTAGTTTATGTTAGATGTGCATCCTGGCGGCATGAGTCTGGTTCAACGACCGCAAGCCAACTCTCATCGTTCCAACAACATTCATGTCAAGAAAGCCATGATCGCTGCCCTAAGATCACACCTCCAGCTTGATGCCTGATCAACAGCTCAAGTTGAGAAAGGGACAGTCACCGAGACAAAACATTCAAACGGATAATTCAAGAATCTCAGACAGAAATCCATGCCAAAGGTTGAACCATGCAACCGTTTGCGAACTTTCGCCGGCTTCTAGCCGCGACAGTCTCAGTGACTCCCATAACTCCATTGAGGCCACATTAAACCCCTTAAATCGCCCATGAAAGACATCCCATGTAATAGGACTAAGATAGGTCATAGCCATGTCTCAGAGCCAACATATCTTCATAAAGCGCAAGTCGTCTCTATCGGGATCAGATGCTTTCCCTGATTCCCCACCAGCAGAAACTTCTGGAAGAAAACTTGCGAAGCCTTTGGACTTCTACCGGACTGCCCGCAGTAAAGAAACAGTATATAGAAAGGGATACAATCTACTCAGCACTCGCTGACCATCAAAGCAACAGCGAGCATAAACTCCAAGGGACTTCCCTTGACGCCGCCATGGCAACCATAATATGCCATACTCCAGATCTTTAAACTGTACTCGAAGCTCTCGCCTCCAGCATCCAGAAAAATGTAATAGGCGATACCTTCTTGTCTACTCCCAACCACACAACCCAGTCCAGATTAAGGCACGTTCGTATCCCGAAGCCTAGTGGCCAAGTTATAGCCGCATGGGCCTCTCCAGAGCGACGTCAACTGCCCCTGCATTCCGGATGCTGTCCAGACCGACTGCCGATGAAGTCCAAGGTGAGGATCGTTGTGTCGTTGAACCGAAGCTGAACCTGCCGTATCGAAATCGTAGTCGTACCATCATTCCTCAGACTCTTCAGCCGCCGTAATGGTTTGTTGCAGCCGAGTAACAGCACCCTAGCCACGACAGCTTCAACGTAACATACTCATTTCCACCTCTTCTCAAATGTGACGTCGTCTAAAGATCCTCGTGATGTGGTCGTCCCATTCAAATAAGTCGAATCGAATCAAATCTTGGCCGTAGTCGACACCGCAACGCCGTATCCATGAACCGCGTCAGTCCATCTTTGCCTTCCATCCCTCTTAATCCAATCTCTTGCAACGGCCTCCTCGATGATCCTCCAAGTAGTGTTGTCCTGGTCCGTTCCGGTTCGGCAGTAGTGGACGTTGTGATGCCGTAAATTGCCTCAAGTCGTCGTTCGCCCAAGTGTCGTAGCCCCCTATTCGCAACTTGACAGCACCCGTCTCATCCTTCACCATCTTCGAAATCCCATCAAATCCACAGCAGTGAATGCATCCACCTCTTCCCAAGTCCCTCATGCCATCATCATCCTCGTTGTCATGGTCGTCATCGCGTTCATTTTTACCGCTGACTGCATACATCAGAGGCAGTAAAACCCGCAGTCTCGTCACATATTTTCAAGACAGAGAAAAAGAAAAAAGACCACGGAAACATCAGCTAAATTTAGTCAAAAGCTGGGGAACACCTTGAATTAAAAACTGCCTGTCAAACTCAAATAACCCGCGGGCGAACAACTGCTCGCCGCCCGCCCCCCGTTCTGCCGCCAAATACGCCCCGATGGAAGCCCATAATGACGTACGGCCGATCATCGCCGATCACCATCGCCTCCTCTCACCTGAAAAGTAACCCCAACCCATCCCTCTATCGTTTCGGATGGCCGTAAAAGGACAAGACCCGAATTGATTGGGAAAAAAATGGAAACGTTCAGAAACTCAACTGGCAGATAATGCGGCCGATTTTCAAATAAACGCAGCGCAGAAACAAGGGGGAAGAGGGAAAAAAAAAAAAAAAAGGCATATCGTGTAGCTCTCGCAGTTTCGCCTGCACGTCGAATCCAAACGGACGTAAAAAAGGGCTCACAGGATTTTCCCCGCTTCCAAGGAAAGGGCCATCCGCATCATCAGCCTCTGCAAATCTTTGCCGTCACTGAGGAGCCAGCACAAACCACGAGAGGAAAATCACTACCCCATTCTGCTCCAGCCTCTTGAAACGCTCAAACCGGTCAATGTCTGTCACTCACCCGCCAGCAAGAACAAAAACCATGGGTCCGCATCACCGTACCACCAATGTTTGCTCGTAGCTTGGGTTAGGGCCCCTCCCCGCCGCAACCCCCCCGCCACACAACGTGCCTTTGGGTACGCGAGACACAGGGAAGACATGAAGGGAAACCCGAAATTCGCCCATCTCAGCCCTAGAGAGAAGGGACACTGAACGGGTCTCGCGCCCAGAAGGGTACCAGAACGTGACGATCCTGTCCTAAACGGCACTTATTGCCGTCGCATTTGCGGTGAATTGGGTCGCAGATCACAAAACATCAGACACCGTCAACCATCCTAGATGATCGGGGATGTCCCAACCTCGAGCAGAGGAGAGGTTCTGATCTTCTCGCGGATCGTGCAATGGAAAACCGGCGGAAGTTCATCCTGCGTGGCGGCGACGTGTCGCCTCGCTACCTCTTCCATTGACCAGTGAAAATGCTCTCTCTGCTGCTCCATGGTATGGATTCAGGGACCCACGGCCTTTGTGGCCGAGAACATGACGTTCGTGAGACACTCATGTGCCCCGCAGCTTCTGCCAGTTGCAAAGTTGGGAAACTTTCCATGGGCAAGAAGGGAACAACGCATGCAAGATCGCCATCTCGGCTACTCGCTGTGTGAGGGGAACCATTCAAACCTGCAGGAGATGGCCCCGGATAATGGTGATAAGCTTAGAAAACACCATAACCTTGTGCCTCCCTAGCCCCCCGCCCCCCCTCGCCTCCTGGCGTTCTCAGTCAACCCCCATGTCCCAGAAGAACAGAGGGGATAGGGGAACCACCACCCGAGGATCTCCTTCGCAGTGTCCCCTTCCAAAGTTCTCCACCAAGGGCGTGGCGAGCTCCCTCAGACTACCGCATCAGGAAACGGACAGGCCATGTTCGTGGTTGCCATTGGCTCACCGTCAACGTTCCAACGGGATGATGAGCGTCAACCCTAATACCCGAGCAGAGGAACCTAGTCCCTTCAGTGTGGCTGACGTTCTGGAGGACGGGGGTAAGGAGTACACAAAGATGAGGGGGACTTCACCTAGGCGGTGCGTACCATGGAAGGAGGAATCGTTTCATAATGAATGCCAGAACGGTTTCTCCTTTGAGAGATAAGAGACCTGTTGAATGAACGCACCAAGAACTACCCCGCGAGTCCGGGAGATCGAACAACAGGCGATAGCCTCCCGTATGGGGGTTGTTGCCTCTTTATCTCCTTCGGCTCAACGGGGAGGGACCCCCTTGTGGCTCGGTTGAATCGTTTCTATTCTGATGCGGACCCCTCCGCCATGCTTCCCGTCCCCTATCCTCGGCGATCCCAGAGGTCTGGATGCGTGTAGGGGTGCAGCCATCCAATAGACTAACCAGTTGCTCGGCCTGATAGAAAGTGACTTCTTACTAACGAGACCCCAATGACACTCACCCCTGAGCGGCTAGTTGCCGCTGCACAACCGTACGCCGCACGACAACCAGTTGTTCATACCCCTTCGCTCTCCAGCTGTGGCAAATGCATGAGGCTGGAACCAGTCAGACGTTTTACACCACACCTTCCACACACCATGCACACACCCCTAGCGAATAGCGCAAACGACCTGCCTTTCGGTTGCTCAGCCACAGTAGCTGCGCAAGTCTCCAGTTAAATCCGCTGAGAAGTGTAGATGTGGCTCGCCCCCGATGCCACATACAGCAAGTGATCGTTCAGTTTGTGGCGTCAGAAGGAAACCGACCTCTGACCTCTGAAGTCTACGTGTAGATCCAATCGCTCGACAGGAAGAGTGCGACTCCTTGTCCAGCTGAGATTCTGGCTTCCAAGAGACTCTGACTGGTTCGTTCCCCTGATGTTATGCGGGTTGGAAGTCTAGTGTGCAGCACAAACCATCCTCTCACCGAGGGTGTGGCCACTTTGGATAGACATAACTGTGGCACCGATTGTGGCTGTACAATGGTGACATATCTCGTCTCTACTGACACAAACATTGCCAAAGAATTCGTCAGCCCTCCTTTTCCGTGCATACTGACCTGCGACTCACAGTCTAGACCTCAGAACAACCGCGAACGTTTATCCGAGGTCTCCAGGCACTTCTGCCCCAGATCGCCGGCGGCCCTCAACGATCGACACTCGTATATCCGCATCGGGAAACATGGTTGAGCCACTTCTGGAAGACAAGCTGCCTCGACGGCCAGACCCGCCTGTTGTCAAGCCTCGTGTTCCTAAGCCACTTGGGATGCTCGGAATGTCACTGTGGCGAGTGCCCTCCCTCGCCTCGTCTTCCCCGGTCGAATGCGCGTCGTCTTCCTCAAAGTACCGGTACTTCGTCTGCAGCTCTGTGGCTTTCACCCCACTCCAGGGTCTTGTGATGTCCTTATGCCCGCTGCATGATGCATGTCGGCGAGATATCCGCGGTTCTCTGCTTGCGCTCGCGTTCAGGCACAGGGTCTGCAGACCTCCTCGCTGCAAGGTGACGATGGTGGGTTATTGTTTGCAACTTTACATCTTGCCGGTAGATGCCTGATTGTGAAATAATGACAAGACGCTTCAAAATCCCAGCCTCCGAGAGATTGCTGAGCACCTGGACATCCTGGGTCATTCCCCATGCTGGCAGCGTTTTGTGACCCTGAGAAACCAGAGAGTTGCATCTGACGGGGGTAAGGGAGGCGGGAGACTTCTGACTGGAGAGGATCATCTCCCACCCGACCCCGGTTTCTGCATAGGTCATTTCAGGCCAACTCCAAATTCTCCGCATCGACCTCTCGCAATAGCCAAACGAGGCCGTACAACGGCCGACCTTATTCTCTTATGGTGATTTCCTGAAGTAGTATGCTGAAACAAGTACATACTCCAAGATGAACCACTGCAAGGTCTTCGAGAACCCAAATAATCGGACTGAAAACCTAGTGAGAAAGGCCACAGACGCTGCGGAACAAGAGTTCCTGTAGCTGATTGTGTTCCGCGATACAACTCGGAAAGGCAGAAGAGTTCTTTGATTGAAAACAACCATCCGCACCAGTAGATGTAAACTCAACATACCCGATGGTAATTGTCCATAGACACGACGGAGCCTCGTTACTGTGATATCCGAAAGTAAGGACGCTTCAGAAGTCCATATAAACTTAGCTTAAGTGCATACCAGGTACAACACCGTTAAGATTACCTTTTTTTAGTCTTCTCCAATCAGCTCACTTGACATTGATTGAATCTGGATGTCATGTAATGGGATCGCGGGGACGTATGCATCCATAGCCATCGGTACCTTAGCTGTATGTACTTCGTATGGCTTGCCAGCTCGGTAGAATACGCATAGGGACCGTTATATGGCCTACTATTGGGTGCTTGTTTCATAGGAGTAGCTAGCTGTTTGTGCTGGTCGCGCATTAGCTGACAATAAGAACTGTGAGCGAGCGACTGACATGGAACTTCTAGACCGCTAGAACGCGCAAGCACTCGCCACAATGCTCGCAGATCCCTCAACTCTGTTGGGTAAAAGAAACGTTGATCGGTGTGGCTTGCCGAACTGCCCTGTGGCCAGTGAGAGCTAGGTTCGGAGATTGTGGTGAGGGTCGATGGTCTCGTTGGGTACAAATGTACCGCGGGGATCGTACAGAAGAGCCGGAATCCAGCCGATGCTAGAGCCTGTAGGCACTTCCGGAGAACATAATATAGGATCGGATGAGGGCCGTCAGAGTCCCGTCATTACTAGTTGGTGACCCCGAAGTCTGCGGCGCTAAAAAAACAAAATTCAGTAGACACTCCACCTCCAACCCCTGTTTGCGCAAGACGTTCAGTGGAAAATTACGGATGTTCTTGACTGTTCAAATCTAAAGGCGTGTCAAAAGGAAAGGTATTTTTCGAAATTGCGACACCTTGTCGCAAGGTACCAAAATAAGACGGATGGCGCGGAACGTAGCTAGCGACCAAAGACTGCTCTCTACCAACGCTGTTGGAGTAGTTTCCAGAGACTTAATATCCTACATGTAACGTGAGAAGTTGTTCTCATCCGCCATCTTGTTGGTGCGATAATGATTGAACATGACAGGGGCGCGATGGAAGCGGACTCTATCATTTAAAAAACACTAGACGGGCGCATGCATGTCGTCAGTAGGTTTAACACCACCGAAGTAGCTCCTGTCATGGAAATGAGGGCTCCCATGCGAGATTAGCCACGGCATATCTGTCTCCCAATCACAGCGTCCGACGCGATCAATATTGCCTCTGCTCTTCTTGTCAGCAATAGCCGCTTCGCATAGTTATCTCGGAACCGATATGAGTTCTAGTGTTAGTGCATGTGTAAGCGGCTCTATTTCCCATTTTGATCACAGTCATTTACACGACGCCAATGTCGGCGCCCTTGTGGTTGAAGATTGCGGTGTCAAAGTAAACGGCGTAAATTCTGTCCTCTAGATTGACCAAAGGATCAGTGGGTATGGTGCTAAGATACAAGCTGCAATGTAGGAGAGCTCATGCTCTATGAAATGTGCCCTTCCGTGCTTGCATTAGTTCGTCAACAAGCTCCTCGACTTCTGCAAGCGAGCAAGAAGTCAATACATGATGGTTTGTGTAGAACAAATGAAAGACAGTAGGTTGGGCACCAAATAATATAGTAAAAGTTGATGCGAGAATCAAATAAAAAGCGAAAAAAAAGAAGTCGCGTCTTGGGCTGTCGACAAGCTCAAAATCTACCGCCAGGGTCAAGTGAAAGAACCAGGTCGTTTTCAGAATTTTGCCCGATTTTGTTGCGCTCCGTCTTTCAAAAAGCCCCTCGAATGTACCGACGATGATACTCAAAAGGGGCTGGATATCTTGCGTGTTTTGTTGCCATGACTGCCCATAATGACCCAGATCTAAATGCCCAAATCATAAACCCGCCCATGTATTTGGTGGCCTGAAGCATTGAAAAGAAGAAATGCCTCATCCAGAGGCTTGGTATCTCAAAATCAACAACGCCAACTGAGCGATATCCCAACCATGCGTGTACGAGTGCATATGTGTGCTCGTGCATCCTTGTGCCCCCGGAGGCATACCTGGTGACAGGCAACCGGGAACAAGCACAAAATCCCCTCTAGAGGCCAAACCCAATCGACTTTGTTGCTGATGTAGAAATGGGTCCAATTATGTAAAATTAGAAATTGAGGCGCAATTCGTAGCCTCCTTGGAGAGACGTTTGGTCCATAGCATCGCCATCACTTGGGTCGACCACCATGTCCCATTCTCTCTTGGGCTGAACTTCGTCCACGAGCTCCTTGATTTCGAGCACCATGTCTTGGCCTTCTCTTAGCTCCGAAATGACGTCGTCGTCCATTTCGACTTCAAGTCCACGTTCCAGCACATGAACTGTCCGCACAATCCTTGACGGTTCGATATTCCACTTGGTGGCAATACGGTAGTTGAAATCCTTCAAGTTTCGCTGAGCTAGGTAGATGGCTTTGTAGTACTCTCGCTTCTCAGGATCAGATGTGTTCGGCCGAATGACATAAAAGCAAGCCACAGGCTTAAGGACACGCTCTGGAGGAGGGCGGTATGATGGATCGACTCCAAGAGCCTCGATCCATCCGCTCAAGTTACCGGCGTCGTCCGTCTTGGTGATCTTTGTCGGCTGGTCAGAGCCTTGCCGCGAAGGAGGTTCGCCAGAACCTTCCCCGTCAAAACCTGACCATTGTCGGTTGGGCATGGCCGAAGCTTGAGATGCCAGAGACAGAGAACTAGGAGAGGGTGATACCAATGATGAACCAGCAACGGAACTGCGTCCGCTTCGAGCCTGCCAAGCTGGACCCTCGCGGGATTCCACCTTTGCAAGGTCGCCCTGTTCTCCGGGGAGCGAAACTGGGTGAAGATCAGGGTCGTCAAGGTCCTCGCCGCGTAGGTACAACACGCTAACAGGCCTGGTGCTCGTAAACATGTCTTGCAGTGTCTGAAGCTTGAAATGCAAGTCTTCTTCAAGTGGAGGACGGCTACCACCTCCAGCTGAACTTGTTGAAGACATTGACCAAGTCCGTTTGTGTTTCTGCACCTTGCCAGGTCGCTGATCTGTGCCCTTAACTTGTGCTGCAGCGGAGGACCTCTTGCGTTTACCGAAATCTTTCATGCCGCTCTCCGCTTGTGCGATTTGTTGTTTAAGCTTGTCAATGGTTTTCTTGACATGCGCAACATCATTGGACAGCTTGCGCTCAGCACCATGGTCACGGAACAGCTTGACCTTGCAGAAACAGATTTCGGGATTGGCGTCCGCTGCTGGCTGGCTGGGGTCCGAGGGCAAAGTGTTGGTCTTGGCGCAGAGCCGGACTGGGATACCCTTCACACCCTTCGAGTGGCTGAAGTCCGTCGACAGGAAGTTGAAGCGTACTGCAATGTTGCACTCAGGGGCACCATTGATTCCTGGAGTCCAAATTACAGAGAAGCCGTCGAATGAGGCCGATTCCAGCTCGATGCGAGTTCTTTTGTCGTCGCCCTCGGTGGGTTGTCCGGCTTCAACGTACTCTACGGCCTGCAGCTTTCCGCCTCTTTGGTGGGCCTCATTCGTGCCTCTTCCCTCCTTCCACAATGCCCAACAGACGCCAGGCTTTTGCCTCTGCTGCTCGTCTTCAAACGAGATACGCACAAATGTGCGGAATTTGGTGCCGGGAGCCACGGGAATGGTTGCATTGGTGTCAACGATGGAAAGTGAGTAGGCCTGACCTTTGTTGAGGTAGGTAACAGGGATCTCATCTGCATGCTTGATCATAGCGGTAGGCGCATTGAGAGTGGCATGGAATCGAAATTTCTCGGCGGAGGGCGGTAGAGCTGCAGCCATGGGCATGCCACCAAATTGTCGCCCCTGGAAGTCAACCATAGGCGAGTTGTGGAACGCACTGTCAATTGAAGCCATCCTTTCTTCAGATGGATCAGAGTTCATGGGAGATCCGTCCTGCTCCATGGTCTCATAACCGGTATCCTGATGCACAAATGTCGAAGGCGCAAAGGACTGTTGAGGGGCAGGAGGCTGAATGAAGGGGTTGAAATGCGGTTGAAATTGCTGAGGGTGCATACCCTGAAAACCAGCGAGATCCATCATGGCTGGGCCAGAGTTCATCGCACCTTCTGAAGTGGGCATGGACAATGGGGTTCCTAGGCCCATACCGAGTCCTAGGGTGGGTGTATGAAGGTCACCGGCTTGCGGGTGGTAGATGGTGTTGGTACCTCCCGGGGTAGGAGTGTAATAGCCAGGCGGCGCATTGGCGAAATTGGTGAAGGAAAACGAGTTGGGGTCCAGCAATGAGGGAGTGAATCTCCAAGGCTCATTTGTCGCTCTAGGTGTCGGATCTTGGTCCCTGAAAGCTTCATGACTGAGACTGTGGCTCCTGCGGGAAGTCTAACGTTAGAAAACACGTCATTTTGAGTCGAAAACCATGGAAATCAATCTTCGCTCTTGGATTGAATTCAAGAGCATGTAATTGATCCACCACTGAGTGTGTACCCCGCGTTTCCGTCTACTCAAGCCATCCCGGCGGGTGTCGCCGGAAGCCTCAATGAACGGCAAACACAAGCTTCAGCGGAAAACTGGCTGGGGGCACGGTACTGACCTTTCTTGGATTCCGGGTACGGGGGGAACAACGGTTGCATCGACAGTAGCGACCTGTGAAGCACCAACTGGTGCAGCGGTTGTAGCAGCTACCTCGGGGAACTGCTTTCTAAACGTAGCCAGCAGTTCATCGCCGGGTTTCTGCGCGCTTGTTCTGAGGAGGAGTATACGAGTCAGCGATAGCCCGGGACAGGCGCAAAAGGTTTCGTGATGGTGTAACGGCGGGCAGCGTGCGTGCGGGGAGCCAAGTCGCACAGCTATTTTTGTCGGCGCATAAGGGACGGGATATGACAGAGCTTACCTTTGACGAAACATCTGGAGAAAATGTGTGCGCTGCCAGTGACAGCGGTTCTTTAACGGTATTCAGCAGTTGTACGGGTGGTCTCCCGTATATTTTCAAGTTCCGTCTGACGAGTGATAGAAAAAATCGAATTGTCGCCCTCGTATGGCTTTAGCTTGTTTGCACTTCCCCTGCTGTGATTCAGATGAGCTGGGTTGGTCCGGGCTTTTTCTCTTTTCCCTCTGTTCTGTTCTTCTTTTTTTTTCTTCTCCCTTTTCTAACGAGCGTAAGTCAGGTGGGGGAAAGCCGGCTGGCGCTTCATAAAGCGATGATAGAGAAAACGAGTGAAAGGGTCGGCTATGGTGTCGCACGCGGTGACAGAAAATTGCTGCAGCGAAATCGGGTGCTCAAATGAAGATAGGCAAGCGACAGAGGCCGCTAGCAAATCGAACAGTTGCTGGTCGAGGGAAAATGCTGCTCCGGTATGACGTCCGTGGGGAGAGAGCGGTATATTAGAGGGCGATGTGGGTACCTGACATGAAGTTATGTGAGGCAGGGTGGACAGGCCGACAAGGATAGGGCGGAGAAAAGATGGCCTAGATGCGCCGCGGACTGTCGCTGTCGATATAGTCCTCTACGTCGGCACGTCGGCGCGAAGACGAGGCAGGCTGATCTTGGTCAAGAGGGGCGGGCGGGTGCGAAGTCGAAGACGGCGGTTGACGGGACTCATATGAGGATGAGAGGTGACAGAATGGTGGGAGTCAAGTGGTTCGCTAGAGGCCGCTGGATCTTGGTTACCAGGTGTGGGATGGTGGCTGCTTGATGGGCTACTGCGCGATGTGAATTGTGAGCATCCGAAGATGGCGCGGAGGAGACAGGCGTAGGCGCGGGCTGGATGGGGTGTTGTGAAGCTGGTGCAGATAGTTCTCCCAAGCAAGACTTGCAGAGAGAGAGAGTCAAGGAAACGGGATGGAATGAATGGGATGAGCGGTATCTAATGTATGTATGTAGTGTAGGCGCGCATGTCGAGGATGGTCAGGTATGGATGGTGTGTGCGCGCGGGTTCGAGGAGTGGTGCCCTTGGGCTGGGTATTTGGGACCGCGGTCTGGGTCCTCTTTTGGAGAGGAGACGCAGTATGGGTATGGGGCCTTGGGCTATGGGTATGGGTACTGGTATGGGTACAGCGGACAGACGATGGACGTGGGATGGGGGTGAGGTTGCGAGTGTGGTGTGGGATATGAAATTGAGAATGAGTATGGGTACTGTGGATGGAGGTGGGCAAGGGTGGACGCCGTGGCTCGGGTATGGGTACCTTACGACGTACTTGGGTAAGGTGGTAAGGCAAGTAGCTTGTGGTACGTACTCTGTTTTTATCTTTTTTTTTTCTTTTTTCTTTTTACCCTTCTTGCTGGGCTATGTGTGTGAGGTGAGGTGAAGGAGCTACTGAATGAAGCTAAGTAGAGCAGCTGTGCGGCGTAGCTGAGCCGAGAGACAAGTCAAAAGGTGGAGGTTGCCAGGTGGTGGACGGAAGAGCGGATGAACAATTTTGGATTTGGAAGACGTTGAGGGAAGAGGGGGTATGTGTCTTGAAATAATCCAGAGAGGATGGTACGGATACTGGAGGGAAGATATGGAAAAGAGTGAGTAAAAGAACAAGCGAGACAGAGAGAGAACGCGAGGAGAGGTGAGGGAGCCGGGGAGGAGGCAAAGAAGGTGACGGTGAGGCGGGTTGACTCGAGTCGAGTTAGATGGCGGTACGGATATGTTCCTTAAGATGCGGTACTGGGGATTAAGGTGAGGAGAGAGGAAGAAAGCGGGAAAGAGAAGAGACAGATGCAGGCCTGTCAACGGGAGAGGAAAGAGGTCTGCTGTTGGTGGTTATCGTCCTTCTTTTGGCTGAGGTGCTCTCTTCTGCTGGGAGAGTCGGATGGACATCTAAAGTCACAGTACTTTTGATGACGCCTGATATGCGTGTAAAATAGATGCAAGGTACGTACTCTCGGATTCGAGAGGTAGGCGCTGAAATGCGTACTAGTACACCACCGCTCTGCTGTTGCGGTCTCTGCAGTAGGGATTAGGCATCTTCTTCGGCGGCTTCCTCCACTCGCTCCCCCCTCTCCCTTGTCAAGCCACCTCCCCACCTCGAGAAAATAATTGTTAGTGCGCGACAATCGACCTTGTACCGCACACCCCCCGCTCTCTGCCCCCCGGATGAGATGTGTCGACAGGGCTCTCCTAATGAGACACCCGCCGTGGCATGCCGAGGACAGCAACAGTGCCGTCCGTAGTCACTAAGTAAAGTGCACTTCTATGGGAGTACCCAAAACATCGATACATAGTACGTACTTAATTACACCTATTATTGAGGATGTGGATGAGGAAATGTGAGTGAGGTGACCGATGACCCGATTCATCCTCCACAACCTCTTGTGGCCAAGTCACTCGATCTTGGGTCTCGGGCTGATGTCGAGCAAAAGCGCAGACACGAGAAGTTGACACGCAAAGTTTTGAAAGGATACGCGATCGTACTTAGTGGCCGAGACGGATGACTCCATAGCGCAGCGCCAGTCTTGCGTGGCCGTTAGCCGTGGGCCGTGTTGTTTGATAATGCATCCATCTTTTGGTGTCTCTTGAACTCACCTACTTTCCATTACTTTCTTTTTGTGCGAGGTACCCTAACAAAGCGATCTCGGGCTGGCTTTGCAGATTTCCAGCGCTCTCATTCGTTTCTTCTTTCCTGCATAGTCAGCCGACCCTTTTCCCTCAGCAATAGAAGTAGACTCGGCCAGAGTGCGAAAAGTGTCGGAGAGTGGGGGATGGGCAGGGGGAGCAAGCCGCACTGCATCCGCCTTAGCCAACTGACGTAGTGTTATGGGCTCACCTCGCTATCGCAGGCCCGACCCCGTCAGTTTGGAAAAAGAGGAACGACATTCGGGGGCTATTCTCTCCCGGGCCTGGGCAGACACGGGCGCTCCAGGTGGCAGACGCCGCCTTCTTGCTGTATTGGGTCTGGCTCCTCTAGCCGATTCTTTCCTCATCCCTCCCTTTCCTCCGTATAATCTTTGGGAGGAAAACGTGGTTGCCATGATCATTCTTGGCCGGTGGGAGGCAGGAAGTACACTACTTGCCCTAGCTGGCCTTGGGGGCAATATGCTGGGTCATTTTTTTAGGCAGGGCAAACAAACGGAGATGTAAAGGCGGCAGGTACGGACGGACACCGAGCTCTGGTTGGTTGACCGGGGACATAAGGTCCCTTTCCCGTCCCATTTCCCGTTTGGGACGGTGCCCTCTTTCCCATCGTCACCATACCTAAGGTGTGCGCGGAGTACCTTCAGGAAGGAAGGAAGGAAGGAGGGCAGAGGCAAGATGTCCCATGTAAGGCAGGAACATGCTTCAATCTAGCGCGAAGTGACAAGTCCCTGCTTCGAACGAAAGGCGCCATTCCCGCTGCCTTAGCGCATCAGCCAATCCCCCATTGCTAGTTGTCCGCCTGGCTCCTGCCACTTCCTCTCCCCAAATGTGCACCCAAAGAAATGTCCCATCCAAAGGTGTGTGCTTTTCCACCAAGAAAGAACAGACAGACATCTCCCACACGTACGGTATATGCTTTCCTACGTAGTTTGCAGTAGAGGCCGCATTTTTCTTAAACCTTAACGTACCAGCCTCACCTGCGGACAGGGGAGATACTGGATGTTGCCTTTCCGTTCTTGTCCTTAGAACTGAGCTCCTACACAACCTACACGCCCACCTCCTTCCCTACTATGTACTGTTTCGGCTCAGCTTGGTGGCAGCTTCAATCACATCATCTCCCGCACAAGGGCCTTCCTTCGACAACTTCTACGGCTCTACCACACATTACCGTCATTTTCGACTCACTTCCGCAAATACGATGAAAACTGTATTTTATTTTCCCCATCCTCCTTTTTAGCATTCCCGTGTCACCGAGCTGCCTTTACTCTCGGTGTTTCCAACTTTGCAAGCTTCATCCCTCTTCTCTTAGGCTGCCAATACCGCAGTGGCCTCGATTGCAGAGTGGGTGAGTGGATATCGTCTGATTAAAGCGCTGCGTCCTCGATCGGTACTTCTTTAGATCATCGCGCTTCTGGCAGTTATGGCTGCTCCATTTTTTATTCATACCAGCGCCGCCCGTAGGAGCCCGTAGGGGAAAAAAAAAAAAAAAACAGGTAGAAGTACAGACCAGCTTCTTGAGCAGCCGCCGGAGCATTGAATAAATCTGCCTTTATTGTTTATGTCCTGCACAAAACGGACTCCTTATGCGCCCTGTGTGGCTCTGAGCCTGGGATGCGCCTGCCCATACGTTGGCCACAGCTTCGTCGTCTTTCACCTATTACAGGCGCCCATCATACGTTTAATACCTTACTTTGTTTCTTTTACTATGTGTCTATCCGTCAATCCCCCGAGATAATTTACCAGCCCCCTCTCTTCTTCTTAGGCCTCGGGCGCATTCCACCGGGACATCTGGGCCCATCGCGCAATACCAATGCATCTGGCCATGTCCGCCGAGATGACTAACATGGGACACCAACTCTGCCTCTCTACTATTGCAACCTGTGGCTTAATGGGCGACAACAATATCGGAGCATGTTATTGTTATTATTATTATATTATTATTACCACAATTTACATGTTAAAGAGCTCTCAGTAGCTTATCACTTTGAGAGTCGCAGCTTAGGTGCCGCGTCAGGTTGACAAGGTATTCTGTTGATGTTTTTGCTTTCGCCATCCAGACCTTGGAGGATCAAAAATTGCTTCTCTAGCCCAAGTTATCATTGACTTGGCATGAACCCGCCAACGGCGACAATAAAAGAAAGCACACCGTCGTCGCCGGAAGTACCACTACTAGCGGTACCCTCCACGCAATGAGCCATCCGAAAGTACACCAGAATAGGACCGCCAAAAGACCCTAGACCCTTTGTCCGTGTGGCTGTGTAATCTCCGTTTCGCCCCCTTCGCCGAAGCGCCTTACTCTAGACGAAGTGAGAGCCGTCGACCCCCAAATCGATGGATGCCGTA